ATGAAAATAGCCTATTGTACGGCACTGCATCTCTCTTGGCCCGAGCTGCGCATCAGATCTAGAGTTTCACAGAGCATACCGGGGGACCGGCGAAACCGGAGACAATAACAACAAATACGGCCCTGTATTTTTAGGTTGTGATTATAAAGCCCATTTCACAGTTTAATACTCCGGGGAAACCAAACAAACTTTGTTGTTTAAAGAAACCAGCGTCCAGAATTGGATCAAATCTCTGCTGTTCCCAAACGTCCGCGAAAAATGAAAGAAGAGGGCAAATAATACGCGGAGGCACTGCAGTTTACTTTCAGACTACAATGACAGATGGATGAGATACATGAGGCAGAAAGTCATATTTTCTTTACTAATTTAATGCTGATAGTGAAGTCTAAACTTAATTTATTTTGACCCAGTATGTTTCTTTGGTATTATGATTTCCTCTAATCTACTGTTATCACTAATACCTCACTGCTTAGTCCCTTAAAAGTCTAGTCACTAATCATTAAACACTGCTTTAAAACACAACTGAGGAAACCATTATATTACTAAAATATTACAAATACATAAACAGGTGAATGCTCTGTGTTTTTATACACTGTTTGCTCATTGTATTGCTCTTTGTTTTGTACAGTTTACTTATTATACCGAACTGTGTTTTTCTTTTTATTGATACGAACTATTGCTTTGTGTTTCTTTCTACTAATGCTTCCTGTTTGCACTCTGTCCACCTATCTTGTGTAAGTAGGGCTGCAACTATATTTTAATAATAAATCTCTAAATTATTTATTCAGTTAATCAATGAGTTGTTTAGTTTATAAAATGTAAGAAAATGGTACACAACCAAAAAATATTCAGTTTACTGTCACAGAGGAGAAAAGAAACCAAAAAAAATATTCACATTTAATTTAAAAGATTCACTGATAAATGAATCAAATAAGTTGGTGATTAGTTAAATAGCTGACAACTAACTGATTGATCTGCGCAGCTCTAAATGTTAGTGAGTGATAACCACTGTATCATGTCGGTAAGCCAAACACAAGGATTAGTATGTGTCAGAGAAGAGGACATTAAATATTTGATGGTCACAATTATTCTCAAAAATGGTAGAAAGCTTTAAACTTAAAAGATAAAATAAGTTACATCAAAATGATCGACACTTCTAGACTGAAGACTGTACTGCATGTAGAGGCCTGGACTTCTGCCATGTTCTACTGAGCTGTTATGTTATACTTTGTCGCCGCCTGCTGACCAAACACAAACACTGACAAACCCAAGTGAGACTTGCAACTCATTGTGTTCCATATTTCCCTCCACTCTGACGGTCAGCAGTGACAAAAATGTATTTATAACAAGATACAATTATGTTAGCTGATGATACATCTGAGAGTAAAATCTTCATATATATGACTGTACATAGCTGCATTATGTAGCTGTTTCAATTTGCATCTCATTCACACACTCACACAGTGGCGTATGATAGTTAGGATGGGCCCCAGTGCACACTATTACAATGGGCCCTTGTGCAAGATTTTGCGTCAAAACAGCTACCGTATTAGGGCCCGACCGATATGGATTTTTTTGGGCCGATGCCGATTCCAATATTATGGAATAAAAAAATCCGATAACCGATATATCGGCTGATTAAATTTTTACATTTTTCAATTTAAAAAAACCTGAAACACCTGCTTTTGATGGCTTAAATATAGTTCAAACATTTGTTACAAAGGTATAAATTGAAGGAAGAACATTTTACTATTTTCAAATACTTTCATTATCGGAAATTGTGTGGAACAACCAGCATATGAACAATTTGAACACAAAATAAATCAAAAATATGAAATGCAAAAAGGCAGTAAACCTCTGGGAAATAAAATAATCATGCAAAGTCTATATGAATTAAGACATTCACATGTATGTTCACAGTACCAGAGTTCTTCTTATTATTGCCAATATAACAGAGGTAGGTTATAGTGCAAAAAGTAACACAAGGACATCATTTCTAAGTAAAACACCATATTAGCTGCATTTTATTAGTGATGAAAATAGAAGTGTTAACATCAGCTAGGGCTGCCACGATTAGTCGACTAATCGATGACTAATCCACTATTAAAATAATTGGTGACTATTTTAGTAGTCGACTAATCGGTTTGAGTCATTTTTCATAGAAAAGTACTATAAAAGTACCCAAAATACTCTTACTGCAGCTTCTTACGTTCAGATATTGGCAGCTTTACACACTCTCTTTTTACAGTGAACTAAAACTCTTTGGCTTGAGTATGAAACAAGACATTAGATGACGTAATTTTGGGGTTTGGGCGAGATAGACCGACATTTTTCAACATTTTAACACATTTTTCGATGAAATGATTAGTCGACTAATCGAAGAAATAATAGACAGATTAGTCGACAATGAAAATAATCATTAGTGGCAGCCCTAACATCGGCGTCAATCTGCTCTAATGGCTATAATCAGCCGATTAAATTGGCTGGCCGATAAATCGGTCGGGCCCTATACCGTATATTTCATAGTACCGTCACATGATCATATACAGACGTGACGTTGGACAGCATCAACATATATATATATATTACTAATCACCACTGCAAATCTATACATGACACAAATACCAAATAAAATTAGAAATTATTAATTGAATGGATTTTTTAGATAGTTTGTTCATAGTTTATATAGTTTATGTAAAATGATCATGTAATTTTGTTTCTACTGACTATTTCCCAAAAGAGAAAAAAGAAACATTGACAGAGATGGGTTTGCCTCCTCGAGGGCAGATATAGCAGCAGACGAGCATGTGTATTTTTACCTGAGTTCTTCTTTGAACACAGGAGCTGAATCACTCGCAAGGGCCTGTACTCTGCTCCTAAGAGTGTGGGCCCTCCAACCACTCTGTCTATGGGCCCCCCACTCCACATGCCCCAGTGCAACTCACATACATCGATCATCGATGCAAGGCGCTGCTCTGAGCATCAGGAGCTATTTGAAGTTCAGTGTCTTTCAGGACACTTCAACTTGTGGACAGGGGAAGCTTGGGATTGGACTGCCAACCGTAAACCACCTGCAGCTGTTCAATCTGTCTCTTTATGAGATAAATAAGCATTATGATGCATTATAAGATTTTGCCATCCTTTAAAATTCTTCTTTTAGGGCTTGTTGTCTAGATGTGCACAGTGTGCAAGTGTACATCTGCTACTGATACTGATTAAACACCTGTGCAGAGCAGGACTCAGCCCTTGATGGGCTCAGTTATTCCCACCATACATCCTCTTAATATCCACCAAAACCCCTATATGTTTGTTGAGTTGAGCTGCAGGCCACGTCCCTCTCTGCCTGAGTGCATCAGGTTTGGGTGTGTCTCCCAGCCTGAATGCAGGAGACTGAGTGCACCAGGTGGAGATGATTTGGTGATCAGGGGAGTTTGGAGGCACTCACTCACAGGATGGTGAGAGAAAGCATTGTGTAAAAGAAGAAATGTTTGGAGAGACTGGACTTGGGAAAGAAGACTGCAGGATTAAAGCTTGTTTCAAACAAAGAAGAAGGAGCCGGTGAGCTTTCATTTATGTCATGTGTTTTGTAACTTTCATTGTGAACTGTGGATGGCTGTAGACTTGAGCGTTTGGAAAATCCCATGTGATCAAATTCAGGTTAAAATGTGGTGAATTAAAAGGTCATGTGATTAAAATGCAAGTTAAAATGTACTATATTTAATAATCATGTGGGTTAAAAGTACAGATAAATGTTGTGTATTTTTAAAAAGGTATTCAAGCTAAAAGTAATTTAATAAATGTGATTTATGTGTATTTGAAAGAGTCAGAAACTGCTAAAGATTGTTTAAATTACTATTGAACAGTGCTTCAGAATGTATTTAATTTATTTTGGGTGCTTAAGTGTTGGTATTTTCTTCTTATTTTCAAGGTTAATTTCTAGTAGGTTAAAATTTAAGTATTTAAGTTTGGCTTATGTTGATTGATAATGGTTTCTTGGGTCACATTTTCTTAAAGTTCTTTTTGTGTTTGCATTTAAGGTTTTTCACCTGTTATTGGCCTCGTCAACTTTCAAAATAAAAGAAAGAAAAGAAAGAAAGCTGAATCTTGGTCACTGAGTGAATTCCTGTCCAATCTTCTGAAGCAAGCTGCCTTTCCAAGTGGAGGAAGCTGCAGGTTAAACCTCACAAGAGTGAGGGTCACTTGACAATGTTTGAACTAAAGAAAGAAGGTTATTTATGTTTTGTTCTGTCTTTGACATTCTGTGAAACCATCTCTTGTATCTCATATTTAATTTACTTAAATTTCACCTGCTTTATATGAGCTTACTTTTCTGATCCACATGGGTTTCTGGTTTTATTTTATTCTGTAGACCTTTAAATCTGGACAGCACTTCATGCTTATGCTTGATAACTGTTATAAGGATAACATTTTTGCAGTAGCATCATCATCATACTGTAAATCAAAGTGTTGCATAGAGTTGTGTCTTTTAAAACAGAGCGCCACTGTACCATCTAACATAATAATGTGGTCACACCATACGCTCAGTTTATTTCCAAAAATACTAAAACAAGCATGACAGGGACAGTTCCCATCTGACAACAGCCTTGCTCCATATTTCTACATAAAATAAAACTTGTTGACTCAAAACTCCCATGGACAACACACAGTGCATTTAGACACTAAATAGTTCACATAAAGCTTTAAATAAACACACACAGGTGCATGAACCATATGGACAGGTACAGACTATTTTCACAACAGATATTTTTAGTAGTCAGAGAAAAGCACGAGTTCATTAATGACATAACTGATGGCTCAGGTCAAATTTTTGCCCACTGAGTGAACAAACACAATTACTTTAGTTCTGGTAGTGACACTTTTATTTTAAGTTACATGTGTTTTGCTGCCAGTAACATTAGCTGTCAAAATGTCTGCCGTGAAGAGAGTCTGCAGACACTTTCACTGGTGTGTTTAGAGCAGGAATAAATAACGTTTCCTACCTGTTGTGAGAGCTTGTCCGTCTTTTGTCCCGAGCCTTCCACGGATTGTTTTTAGCAGCTGGAAAGGTGGTTAAAAGCAAAAGTTGGGAAACATTCAAATGAAGCTGATACATACTTTAAATTATATTACAGTAAATGATAGGTCAGAATTTACCTGCCATGTCATGTTTGGGGTCGGAGAGCAGATGTTTCAGCGATGGCGGAGGGATATGAAGGAAAACGAGCTAACTTTGGACACTGATATTCTCTGTGACATTTAACATTTGCTTCGCCAAGCCTCCGCAAACTAACTCATATGTCCCTTACAATATTCCCACTGGTGCTGGTTAAAACACAATTAAATTCATCCTTGGGCCAACTTGACGTTTAATTGTGAACTTTCTGACAGCATGCTGAGGAGCGAGCGTTCCGCGCATGCGCCACGTTTAATCACAGGTGTGTTAAGAGAGGAGCCGAGTCACGTGATCACAAATGAAAGCAAAATATAACATCTATAAAACATAGATACTTTTGTATTGTAAATATATATGTTCATATTCTACATTTTAAAGTTTACTTGAGTGAAACTTAATATTATTATACAGTCTGACTTTAGAAAACTACAATAAATAAACAGGAATAAATAAACAGGTATATCTCGAATCAGTCAACGCGGAGAAAACATTAAATTATTCAGAAGTCAAATAGGAAGGCTGACATAAATAAATGCACATGATCTAACAAAGAAAATTTATAAAATTTAAGCTTCCATAAAACTCTAAGATAGAACAAAAATAATTAAGGGACTGTTCTTTACTTATCAGGGGAAGAGAGTGGGGTGTTTTTTTGTTTGTTTTTTTTTTGAGTAAGTATTTTTTCTTGAGCCTCCCTGGGTGACTGGCAGAAAATGCATGACCCTCCACCATTAATTAGTAATTTGATTTTTAAAAATTACCCTTTGATGTTTGAAAATTATAAGTTAAAAGCTGAAGGCGAAATCCTGGAGTGAAGAAAAAAAAAAAAAAAAAGCCTTGATTGTCACTCTTGTCCTGCTACTGGATCGTTAGTGCAAACTCTTTATTTTTGGCCAAATTTTAAATGAGATGTAGAATAAAGTCATTTTGATAAAATATCACCATTCTAAGCGCTGATCTGGTTATGTTTTTTATTTGACGTAGGTGTTCTTGCACATAATGTGTCCAAGGACTGTTGGAAATTTGAAACTCCAACAATATCTTAGCGACGCCCACATTTCCCTGCATGCTAGATTTAGTAGTAGTTTGCTGTTTTCTCTTCCACAACACAAACGTCATTCTTTTGTTATTGTCTGTGGTGTGTCTGTTCAGAACATGATAGTTTATGCTAGTTATTGTCATTTGTTTGTTCCTTTATTGTTTGCACCATTAGTGAGGTGGCTATCACACTTCGTGAGGCCAGCTATATGAGCTTGGTGAATTTTCATGTAGATATGACTGAAAAATAACTTTTAACTACAACTTGTCCAATCTACAGCAGATGTTATCACTACTATCTGAATTTACCACACATTAAATGTAGTAAATTGTATTATAATTGTAATATATGAAGAAGAAAAAGCCATCCAACTCGACTGTATGCTCTTCAAAAATCCATGTTAAATTAATTCAAACTACAACCATTTCAATTTGGAAGCTCCCCTTAGCCCAAATAAAATAAGTAAGTCCCTCCCCAGTGCTTAAAAAAATATTTGACATGCCTGCTTCCTTATGCATCACTTCCTGTCCCTTCATAAATAAGGAACAGTCCCTAAAAACCTACACGCCTACAAGTCCCGACGTGCCTTGCGGTTATAACCATAACAGCGGGAGTTTACAGTCTATGGTGTCCACTACCATCATGGCTAATCAGAGCAGAGTCTTCGCAGCGGTACTACCGGCTGCTGGTCGGGAATTCTCCGGTAATGAAAACGAGCAGGGACTCCAAGTGCCGGCAGTTAACCGTCAGAGTCCCGGTAACCGGGTCCGGGAGGTCCAGGTGACGGGAACAGCGGAGGTGTGTTGTCCGGCGGACCGAGTGTCGGTGCGGGTCAGTGTGGGCAGCAGCAAGGAGTCCGTTAACGAGGTGACCAACAGCGTTACACGGCGACTGGAGTATATTCTACAGGCTGTCAGGTAAATATAAAATAAAGTATAACAGTGTAACTGTAACTGAGAGAAGACCGGTAGTTTCCGGTGTAGCTGTAAACTTTAAGCTAACGTTAGCTAACTAGCTCGTGCTGTAACCATAGAAACAGAATAGCGTCTACCGCTGAAGTTCCTACAGCTGTAATGTGTTAAATGCGAGTCACGTTAAGGCAACAGTAATTTTAACGTTAGTAAAATGTACTAACCTTGCTAAATGTAACTTATGAAACGTTACCGTGTTAAACATAATGAGCAGTTGGACTAACAGCTGCTGTAGAAGCTGTTTAAGTCTTAGTAAAGGAAGTTATACACTCCCAACAGTAGACTGTTACTTACGTTACTGTCACTGCACCAGTGTAGTGGATAAAATAAAAATAATGATATATGTTATGGGCTCATTAGAAGTGTAAACTACCTACTACTACTTACGTATAATTCCTTAAGTAGTAGTACTAATTTACACATTCATGGATTTCCAGTGAAGCATTAAAGTACTTAACGTTTATTACTAGTAGTAGTTGTAGTTGCACGTAGTAACAGTGGTGGAATGTAACTAATAACATTTACTCAAGTACTGTACTACGGAAGCGTATTGCACTATGCATATTTTCACTTGACAGATAAAAAAAATTCTGTTGAGTAATTTTTTCTGTTTTTCTGAGTAATTGTTTTTATTTTTCTGTTTTTCGTGGTAATTTTTTTATTTTTCTGTTTTTCGTGGTAATTTTTTCCTGTTTTTCGGGGTAATTTTTTTTTGTGTTGTTTTGTTTTTCAGGGTAATTTTTTCTGTTTTTCGGAGTAATTTTTTTATTTTTCTGTTTTTCGTGGTAATTTTTTTTTTTGTTTTTTTTTTTCGGGGTAATTTTTTCTGTTGTTCTGAGTATTTTTTTGTCGACCCGCGCCATGTTACGCAGGCACCTTAAGACTTTGCGGTTGTTCAGACGAAAAGCCCATTCAGATCTGTTGGACATTGCAGTGTTTCTCCAGAATCAGTTGGACACATATGGCAAGCTCCATGGATACAAGATGATGCATCTGAAATGCATTCAGGCTGGCTACGTGGTGACTCAAGTAAGGTGCCTGCGTAAAGTCGACAAACTAATGATAACACCATCTATATGACTTAAAGACAAGAGTGTCTCCCAGTGTCTCAAACCCAAAACAAAGTAAAACTGGATTAAACTAAACAAGCGGGTCATGTTTGCTTCCATTATATCGAGCTCTCAAGAAAGGAATGAAAGTGTCTGTTGTTCTATTGCTCTCTTAACTAAAAAAAAAAAACACACTCAGAAAAACAGAAAAAATTACACAGAAAAACAAAAAAAAAACACGAAAAACAGAAACAAAATTACCACAAAAATCAGAAAAATAAAAAAATTACTCAGAAAAACAGAAAAAATTACTCAATTTTTTTTTTTTATTTGTCAAGTCAATGCAATACGCTTCCGTAGTTACTGTCACTGCACCAGTGTAGTGGATAAAATAAAAATAATGATATATGTTATGGGCTCATTTGAAGTGTAAACTACCTCAAATTTGTACTCTAGTACAGTACTTAAGGAATTATACGTAAGTAGTAGTACTAATTTACAGTCATTGATTTCCAATGAAGCGTTAAAGTACTTAACATTTATTACTAGTAGTAGGAGTAGTAGTTGCACATAGTAACAGTGTTGGAATGTAACTAATAACATTTACTCAAGTACTGTACTACGGCAGCGTATTGCACTATGCATATTTTCACTTGACAAAGTTATTGAGTAATTTTTTCTGTTTTTCTGAGTCATTTTTTTTATTTTTCTGTTTTTCGTGGTACATTTTTTTCTGTTTTTCATGGTAATTATTTTTTGTTTTTCGGAGTAATTTTTTCTGTTTTTCTGAGGGGTTTTTTCTGAGTTAAGAGAGCAATAGAACAAAAGACACTTTCATTCCTTTCTTGAGAGCTCGATATAATAGAAGCAAACATGACCTGCTTGTTTAGTTTAATCCAGTTGTACTTTGTTTTGGGTTTGAGACACTGGGAGACACTCTTGTCTTTAAGTCATATAGATGGTGTTATCATTAGTTTGTCGACTTTTGAAATACATATAAACATGTTAGTCTGACTGAAATCGTACTAAATCAAGTTTCTCAAATTCGGACTAACACCCAGATAATGTGATCAGGAGTCAAATTCCTCCTGCATGTATGCAGTCAATTGGACTCAAACTGGCTGAGGCGCTCTGAGCATGCTCCACAGCGTCCACCCCGGGCTTTGACCCTGAAGTCAAACGGTATTAAATGCGTAACAGAAGAAAATGCCGCTAACAGCATGGTGATGGAGAAATCTACATCCAGAGCTGTGCATTTTTTGGAAGGACGAAATGTACAGAGCTGTAAAGTTGTCCACCATGGTACCAGTTAGCTGCTAGCTAACCGTAGCTAACTTGTTTGTAATAATTTCTTGTACATACGTTTTACTCAGACAACATGGAGTCAGTGACAAAGACACCTCAGTGAGGAAGTTTCTCCACCGAGACGCAGACCAGTATCACATGCAAGCAGAGGTGGAGTATTTAGACAAACACTAATGATGCAAATGTGTCATGATGCTGTTAATCTTTCACTGACCCTACAGAGTATATGTGTGTTGAGTTGTATATGACAAACTGTTCCCACAGGTCGTGGTGACTTTCTCAGATTTCGATAAGATGGAGCGAGTGTGTAGCGTCCTGCTGGAGAAGCTGGACAAGAGTGTTTGTGTGGGAGCACCACAGTTCTACCACAGCGCCGAATGCCTGAATCAAATGAGGTATTAAACACACACACACACACACACACACACACGTCTCACCATTACTGTGGAAACACAGCAGTTGTAACCTGTGTGTGTTTGTTTGTGCTCTAGGCAGCGTGCTTGTGTATCAGCAGTGGAAAACGCTCAGCAGAAGGCCTGCGCAGTCAGTCAGCTCCTGGGGCAAACTCTGGGGCTGCCCCTCCTGGTCAGAGAGGAGGAGACGAGGGAGTGGAGGAATGAGGATGAGGAGGACGGAGGCAGATGCCAGGATGCTTCAGGCCTTCCTCACCTTCCCCGTACAGCCACAATCACCGCCTCCTCACGGGTGTCTGTCTCCTTCGGCCTCAGAGACAGAAGCAGGAAAAAACTCTGAAGACATTTGTCACTGACTCATGAGACCAAAGAGCGGATGTCACAGTTTGAAGGATTTTATTGCTCAGGTGTGATGGCTGAATCGAAGTGCAGTTTTTTAAGGATTTTTCTTCCTCAGCCAACACAGTTTGTAAACAAAAAAACTACAAAGATTTTAAAGCAATTTTGGCATTTCAAACATTTACTTGACTTAAAATTAGGCACACATTAAAGGGACAGTTCACCCCTAAATAGAAAATACACTTTTTTCCTCGTACCTGTAGAGCTGTTTACCAGTCTAGATAGTTTTGCTGTGAGTTGCAGAGTGTTGGAGATATCAGCCGTAGAAATGTCTGCCTTCTCTTTAATATAATGGAACTAGATGACACTCAGCTTGTGGTGCTCAAAGTGCCAAAAAATAAATTTGAAGAGCTCAACAGCAATGTCTCTTTCCAGAAATCATGACCCAGTTACTCAAGATAATCCACAGACCTTGTTGTGAGCAGTTTCATGTAGGAGCTATTTTCTTTCTACCAAACTACACCCACCAACTGTATCACTGTGCAGGAGGAAGCGTTGGGACACCAGGTTGGGACAATATCCTCATTTCCCAATTCAATACTATCGCAATACTTAAGTTACAATATTCAATACATATCTGAAGTACTGCGATTTGAGATTACGATTTATCATGATTTTTGTTTACAACTAGGCCATGGGAAAAAGGTAAATCATACACTTCTCGAGACTAAATATCATGACGCATAATTGCAAAAACAATGCACATTTCATATCAGTCAGTCTTTCTCTTATTTCAGCAGCACCATATACTGTATAGAATAGTGGTAAATAAACAGATGTTTTCATGAAAGCACCAGAGACTCAGCAGCTGCTGTAGCAACTCAGTTCCAGCTGGTGCAAACCCCATGATGTCGTGTTACTCATAGACTACCACAGTAAAAGTGGCGACTTCTTTTAACCTCTGCATTTGAATGACATCGATTCAGACATCAAAAATGTATTTAGAAATTGTTGAAAGAAAAATTGCAATACTTAAAAGTGAATCATTTTCCCTAGCCCTAGTAAACATTAATGGCGTCCTCCTCGGCTGAGCTGTAACATTAGCCAGCTCAGTGGTGCTAGGTGATCTAGCAGTAGATGCAGGCTTCCTTATTTGCTGTGATACAGCTGGCAGGTGTCGTTCAGTAGAAAGAAAATAGTTCCTACATGAAACTGCTCACAACAGGTTCTGTGGATATTTTGAGCAACCAGGTCATGACGTCTGTAACAAGACACTGATGTTGAGTTTTTCCAGTGTATTTTATTGGCCCTTTGAGCACCACAAGCTGAGTGCCATCTAGTTCCATTATTCAGGAGAGAAGGCAGACATCTCTACGGCTGATATCTCCAACACTCAGCAATTCACACCAAAATTTCTAGAGTGATAAATAGCACAACACAGGGGTGTACCACAAGGCAAGTTTGACAAAGCAAGGCTGTCATTGCGTGAGCTGGTTAGTCAAACCCCAAAACCTCAGTCAGAGATAATGTGTACCACAAAGGTGGTTATCACCCTGCTCTGTTACATAGGCTTTCTTTCTCAAATGTCTCTAAAAAGTGGTCACATACCGCCTACCTCCGCCTTTTAACAATATCAAAAACACAGTAAAAAGCAACACTGTGGCTTCAGTTAAGGTGAGAGGAATGCTGGCACTAAATAACTAATCGTGTGAATTCACAAGTGAATATATTTATTTTATCCTTCCATTTACGTCTAACATGGCAGCTCGTTGAAGGAATTATACTGAATGTCATATGCAAGTAAACGTCATCATTAATATTATACTGAACTATTAATGTAGCCTGTAATGCTGCATGTGATTCTATTGGAGGCATCAGAGCCACTGTGGGCAAATGGACCAGAGAACACTACAGAAACATTCAGTAGTTCAGTGAGATCAACGACAACCTTGAGATTAAAATTAAACAATATTCTTGCTCTGATTTTCTGCATCACTGATTTACAGCAGGTTTCTGTGGCTAAAAAAAAAAAAAAAATCTGTAACGTGATACATACAGTAAATGCTACTGTAAATGAACAGCTTCATTTGATAGCATTACTAATGTAACATTACAGCTTAAAAGGTTTGATCAAATGTATTTATATTGTATTCCCTCAGCTGAGAATTTGTGCTGGACGTAGATTGACCATAAAGTGAAGCTATTTCCAAAGGAACTGATTAGTGAAAGTTACTAATTAGCCAATTTCAAGGCCTAAACTCTGAACATAAACTTGTCTCAGAGAGGTTAGCCGTGCAGCAGGAGTCACCATGGTGATCTAGAGAGCCTACTTTGACACAGAAAACTGCGGCTTTAGGCTCAACATACCTCACTGACCCAGTCTTGCTTCATGGTACACCCCTCTGGTAAAAAGAGAAATGTGTATTTTCGATTTGGCAGTGAACTGTCCCTTTAAATTAAATGTTTTGCTCTATTTTTTGGCACATTAAATTAAAACACTTTATATTTGTACATCTCAAAGAAATAAAGATAAAGAACATTTCGTAAATCCCAGAGTTACTCCAGATCTGCAGAAGACATCCTCACATCCTGCTCAAATCTGCTCACTTCAACACTGACTGACACATTCCAGTAGATTTTTTTTAGACAAGTAGAATTTAAGACCACATAAATAGGTCTCTGAAACACCTTTGAAAAGTCAGAAACACACACAGAAGCCATAGCCACGCTTCCTCTGGTGTTTCTAACATACATGTCACCTCTCTGATCACACACACAGACGAGCAGTCAGTCGTCCTCCATCCCGTCCTCGGGGTAGAGCTCTCTGAGCCAGGGCAGCATGACGAAACGCTCGCCATCAAAATGTGAGAAGTATTGCTCCAAGGTGGGAAAGTCCGGCTAGAAACATCCAACAGTGAGTCTGACATGTATTCAATGTGTATTATTGTGAGTATGTGCTTGCTGTGATTTTCAGTACGTACCCTCATCCCAGTGATGCGCTCCAGTTGTGTCTGAGGCAAGTATCCAATCATCACAGAGGTGGGGCCGGGCCCGCTGAACAGGACTTTATAATGAGGTGTCTTCTCTGCTTTGGGGCTCTGCTGGCACAACGACACAGTCACACAACTCACTGACTTCTTTAAACTTGACTTTTAAACTTTAAATTCTAAAATGTCCGTGCCAACACTGAGGCTGTGGAACAAAAGGTCTCATGCAGCAACAGCCTCTTAAATTTCTCTCATATTCTCTCTCAACTTTCTGTTAAAGAAAAGTCAACTCCACATGCACCAAAAGTTCTTAAACATTTAAATCTGCTCTTACCCAGATGTGCTGAATGATAATTCCCATGTGATCATAAGTCACCTATCAGCATAGGTAACGCCCCCTAAAGACTATTTAAGGGCAGGTGTTGTGCCATGTGCAAAGACTCCGGCACATGACCAGGAATTGGAAAGATGTCCCACATACACCGAACAAAAATATAAACGCAACACTTTTGTTTTTGCTCCCATTTTTCATGAGCTGAACTCAAAGATCTCAAACATTTTCTATACACACAAAAGACCATTTCCCTTAAATATTGTTCACAAATCTGTCTAAATCTGTGTTAGTGAGCACTTCTCCTTTGCCTAGATAATCCATCCCACCTCAGAGGTGTGGCATATCAAGATGCTGATTAGACAGCATGAATATTGCACAGGTGTGCCTTAGGCTGGCCACAATAAAAGGCCACTCTGAAATGTGCAGTTTTGCTTTATTGGGGTGGTCTGGGGGGGGTCAGAAAACCAGTCAATATCTGGTGTGACCACCATTTGCCTCACGCAGTGCAACACATCTCCTTCGCATAGAGTTGATCAGGTTGTTGATTGTTGCCTGTGGAATGTTGATCCATTCCTCTTCAATGGCTGTGCAAAGTTGCTGGATATTGGGAGGAACTGGAACACGTTGTCATATACGCCGATCCAGAGCATCCCAAACATGCTCAGTGGGTGACATGTCCGGTGAGTATGCTGGCCATGCAAGAACTGGGATGTTTTCAGCTTCCAAGAATTGTATACAGATCCTTGCAACATGGGGCCATGCATTATCATGCTGCAACATGAGGTGATGGTCGTGGATGAATGGCACAACAATGGGCCTCAGGATCTCGTCACGGTATCTCTGTGCATTCAAAATGCCATCAATAAAATGCACCTGTGTTTGTTGTCCATAACATACGCCTGCCCATACCATAACCCCACCGCCACCATGGGCCACTCGATCCACAACATTGACATCATCATGACACCACACACGCTGTCTGCCATCTGCCCTGAACAGTGAAAACCGGGATTCATCTGTGAAGAGAACACCTCTCCAACGTGCCAGACGCCATCGAATGTGAGCATTTGCCCACTCAAGTCGGTTACAACGACAAACTGCAGTCAGGTCGAGACCCCGATGAGGACGACGAGCATGCAGATGAGCTTCCCTGAGACGGTTTCTGACAGTTTGTGCAGAAATTCTTTGGTTATGCAAACCGATTGTTGCAGCAGCTGTCCGGGTGGCTGGTCTCAGACGATCTTGGAGGTGAACATGCTGGATGTGGAGGTCCTGGGCTGGTGTGGTTACACGTGGTCTGCGGTTGTGAGACCGGTTGGACGTACTGCCAAATTGTCTGAAACGCCTTTGGAGACAGCTTATGGTAGAGAAATGAATATTCAATTCACAGGCAACAGCTCTGGTGGACATTCCTGCAGTCAGCATGCCAATTGCACGCTCCCTCAAAACTTGCGACATCTGTGGCATTGTGCTGTGTGATAAAACTGAACATTTCAGAGTGGCCTTTTATTGTGGCCAGCCTAAGGCACACCTGTGCAATAATCATGCTGCCTAATCAGCATCTTGATATGCCACACCTGTGAGGTGGGATGGATTATCTCGGCAAAGGAGAAGTGCTCACTAACACAGATTTAGACAGATTTGTGAACAATATTTGAGGGAAATGGTCTTTTGTGTGTATAGAAAATGTTTTAGATCCTTGAGTTCATCTTATGAAAAATGGGAGCAAAAACAAAAGTGTTGAGTTTATATTTTTGTTCAGTGTATATCACTTCCTGCATGAGACCCAAAGAGGAAGGAAAAACGGGAAGAGGAAGTGAAGGATTTTAAGAGCTGCTGACCTCAGAGCTGGAATACATTCTGTCCACCCACTGTGGAGGGGCTCGCATCTCAGGGTCCCAGCCCACCACCACCCCGACCATGTGGCCCTTCCTCTCCATCACCACCTCTCCAACCCGCAGAAACACGTACGGAGGGCGAGGGCTGCGCACCGTCTTCGAGGCTGCAGGAATGAAGAATAACAAGAGAATCCTGTGAGGCAGTTTTTAACCCGTGGAACATTCACTGCAGTCAAATTAAACCCAGAGTTTATTCGACGTCTAACTTTTCATCAGAACACAGGAGCACAAAATAACACTTATGAAACACTCACTAATTTGCTTGCTATAGCTGGTCTTTACAGGTTTAAGATGAACAGGCTCCAGATGACTAAAGGAACACTTCACCCCTCAAAGGATAATTTGTTACTATCATTACTGACCCTGTGTTGCATTGAATTCCAGATGAAAACTTTGGTTTTCTTACATGTATGAGATAAACAAAGAATTCAAAAACATTCTTAAATTTAAGTCGTAGGGATCCACCTTTAAAAAAACAGCAAAACTGTATTAAAACATCTCTTTACAGACTCTCACACAACTTGTGCAGTATAATCCAAGTCTAATTCATCCAGTCGTATGCTCAGTACTTCCCAAACAGACAGCCCTTTCTGACGGGGAACTGAACCAAAACTTATCTAAGCTCTCTTCAAAGCCAGACTCAATTGACAAAAACAGCACCTTTACCTGGCTGCACACAGGAGCTGCATGTCTACCTCGATCAGTTAGTTTGTGTGAGTTATTGTGTGACTCTGGTGAGTCCAAACTAACTCCTTAAAACAGCAAAGACACACAGCAACACAAACTAACTAACTGATCCGAGGCTGTTAAACGAAGGCGGGGACACAGTCATTTTACCCATGGAAGATTTGGGGTATGACACCTGCACAATGGAAATGGAGCTGCAATGTTGGAGGTTTATAGAAAATGGTGCTGGATATAAAGGAATTATGTCTGAATGAGCTCTTTTCAGCCTCCTTGGGTGCGCTCAGCCTGATCGGACTTTTTGGGTGTACTTGAAGGGAAAGCAAACAATAGAACGTCTGCATGTAAAGAGCATTAATTAAGAGTCTTAGGACTTTTTGATTATTGCTCAAGTGTAATTTGCACCTGTATTACATATATTCTTACCCAAGGTCAATGGTGGACACCTCAGTGAAACAATCACTCCCAATCATCAATCAATCATCCCCATGTTCTATGATAGTGCGCCAGCTATTGAGCTGAAGTTTCAGAAGTACCTCATTGCACTTGAAAAAGTCCAGACTATTAAATATTAAGTATCTAGCGCAAAAGAATGTGTTTGTGAAGCACTGATCATATGACGGGATAAATGAGACTTGGATTATCCTGCATGAGTTGTGTGAGAGTTTGCAAACAGATGTTTAGGTATAATTCTTCTGTTCTTCAGAAGGTCTTCTTCCGTTTTTGGATTCTTCGTTCACCTTGGAGGCCAGGAAAAAAAACAAGTTTTCTTCACAACAATAATGTAACACAGGGTGAGTAACTGATACACAAAAGGTCATCTGGGGGTGAAGTGTTCCTTTAACCTCAGATTCATCCTGAAACCTTCCAAATATATAGCAGATATTTAAACAGTCACAGACCTCCAAAGAATTCCTCATCATTGTCGAACAGCATGTGTTCTACTCCCAGCAAGTCTTGTGACACTTTCTGCTCCAAGCCAACCAGAGACCTTTGGAAAACAAAAATGTGTTCAGTCCGGACACACAGCTGAGGAGCCTGTGTGTGTTTGCATACTGCTGCAAGAAATCAAACATTAGAAATGACTTAAAGGTGCATCATGGGATGTGAGAGTAAGATGCAAATGAACACAATGTCCTTTGGAAAATCAAAGTCTGAGTCTCAGTCACAGTCTTTTTTGAATTGCAAAACGTCTCACACTCACATGACTTTGGATATCTGCTGGTCTGCCCAGTCCATCCATGCTGTGGCGTTGAAGAAAGATGTTCTCCAGTCTCTCCAGACTCTGAGCAACCTGAAACACCAGTTTTAATTATAGACAAAAGCACTAGAAAATCCCCCTCAGCTTCATTACAGTATTTCTAGGAATACGGAAGACACCATTTATTAAGGTTAAAACATTTCCCCTTATATCCCTAACACAATCTGGATACACTGCGCTGACGCACATGGCAAAGGTAAGCCCCTTTACGCACGGACCTACCGTGTGCTGGCGTGGTAGCGCTGCGCCGGCGTGGATCCGCTCCAGCGGGAGATGAAGTACTGCGCGGGCACGGCGGTGAGCAGCAGCACGAGCTGCAGCACCGCGGTGGCCGAGAGCTGAGGCATGACTGCGCGGCTGTCACCTGGAGACGGAAGCGCGCGTCAGGTGGATGTGGCAAGTGTTAAATCTAAGTCTATACAAGCCCACAGTCAATAAAAGAAACCACACTGAGGAGCCTTAAAGTATTGGCACGGAGCAACTTCACTTTCTGAATTAGGTGTTTTATTTGCACGCGTTCACATGGTTCAACCTGACATTATAGGAAGTAAAACTCTGATAAACAAACATATGGCGCTGCAGAAACTTCGATCAAATGCAAGTGAAACTACGTGATCATTAAAGCTTGTTATTTGTAATTAATAATGAGCCTTACCTCGTATTAAAACCCCCAAACTCCTCCAACTATCTGCCAAACATCGCGTCTGAGCGCGTTTGCGCCTGGACACCAGAGCAGACTGACACGGTTTCACTTCTGTTTTATTTACATAAACCACACTGTCGCCCCCATGCCGGTACCACCTGTGTATTTACATTTTCCGTCAATATTGCCTAAAAGATAGTCCACCCAATCACCGCGGCCCACGGAGGAACCGGCGGACCTTTAGCGGATCGCCACGTCAGGAAGAGCCGAAGCCGTGAGCTCCAGGCGGGGAGGTGGGTCGTTACGCAGTGACGCTCTGGCAACGCAAGGTGGTGGAGTCGTTGTGTGTGAAACAACATGTCAGGAGTTCAAAGAGCTGTCTTTGGAGTGTTTTTTTTTTAACAGGCTGCAGGAAAGATATTACAACTGTCTTCTTTTTAACTTCAGAGAGAAGAAACAAATCAGTCAGAAAAAACACTTTTATTTTTAAAAACACAGACTGCAACTTGAAACCTTAATGTGGTGAACAATATGAATTTGTAAAATAAAACTGGGAACAAGAGAGGGTTTTAAAGGAACAGTGTGTAGGATTTAGAGGGCTTCATCCAGCAGTGAAGATTACAGATTGCATCCAGCTGAAACTTCTCCCAGTTAGAATTCCTTCAGTGTTAAATATTCAGGTTTTTACCAGGAGCCAAATTATCCACAGAGGTGTCCTCCTCTCCAAAACAAACAAACCAGGTGATTAAAACTACTAAAATCACTGAATAAAGCAGTTTTTCATTACATATCTGTGTTTTACCAATGTTGTTTTGCATGTCAGAGACGAGCCCTAAGCCTAGGACCTTCTAGCGTATGCTCACCTTTATTATCTGATAACTTAAAATCCGGACATTCAAGAGGTTTTTACCAGTAGCCGAATTATCCAAAAAGGTCTCTTCTTCACTAAAACAAACAGGCCTGGTAAATAAAACGTGTGAAAATACCGAATAAAGAAGTTTCATGTTATAAATCAGTGTTTCTCCAATGCAGCTTGGCAAGTTGGAGACAGGACGCTAGCCTAGCACCTGCTAATGCATGTTTCTTTTTTATCGTCTGATCCAGACGTTCAGGTTTTTACCAAAAGCCGAACTGGTTGCAAAGGTCTCTTCTTCACCAGAACAAAAAGACCAGGTGATTTTAAACGGTAAAAACACTGAACACAGCAGCTTCAAGTCATTGTTCAGTGTTTCTCCGATGTTGTTTGCCGTGTCAGAGATGAGCCAGTCACCTAGCACCTGCTAATGCGTGCTCATTTTTTTTCTCTGATGACTTAAGATCCAGATGTTGAGGAGGTTTAAACGGTGAGCCAAATTATCCGCGGAGGTCTTAAAACCAGTAAAGGCACTGACTGAAGCAGTTTGACGTTACAAATCAGTGTTTTTCCAATGTTGTTCAGCATGTCCAGAGATGAACCGTTAGCTGGGCACCTGCTAACGTGTGCTCACATTTTTCCCTGAGATGTTCAGGAGGTTTTTTACCAAAAGCCGAATTACCTGCAGAGTTCTCCATTTCGCCATAACAAACTGACCAGGTGATTTAAAGTGGTAAAACACTGAATGAAGCAGTTTCAAGTTGTGAATTAGTGCTTTTCCAATGTTTCTTGGCACGTCAGAAATGAGCCGTTAGCTTAGCACAAATAGACCTGGTGATTAAAACCAGTAAAAACACAGAATAAAGCAGTTTTACATTTAAAAAAATCAAATGTTTTTCCTGCGCTCTCGTCGCAGACGCAAAAATGCGAATGACCCTAACTAGAGCCTGTGTTTAGTTTGTCCATTCTGGGCTACTGTAGAAACATGGCTGTGCAACATGGTGATCTCAATAGATGAGGACCTGCTCCCTATGTAGATATAAACAGCTCATTCTAAGGTGACAAAAACACAAAGATTATTATTTCCAGGTGATTATAAACTAAAGAAAACATATGTATTATATTCTATTTCTGCCAACATTTCCCCCTAATTCCTCGACACTGGACCTTTAAATGACACAGTCAACGACAGGAAGGAAAAGTGGATATGGAAACACAACTGTTTATTTACTTAAAATATTGGTATGAACTAACAGGACAGCAATACTCCCCTACACATACATTCTAGCTTTATGCTTCTTTTTTGCATTAATTCCTTTATATATAAAAAGTATCCAAACTAACAAAGACATCCTCTTCCATCAGTTCACGTGAAACAGACGACCCCTGTCCCCTTCCCCTCCCGTCCCGTCCCCTTAAAACTTAAAAATGCTTCCTGGTGGCTCACATGCAGCCACGTCACACACACACACACACCCCGTGACCTTTAACCTCTGACCAAACGCTTTGAGGCTCAGCCAGAGGACACAAACAACACAAAACTCTGCCACACATTAGCACAGGCCTGTGGTAAATGTGTGTGTACATGAGCTCCAAAATGCAGTGCGGGGTGAAGTAAGAGGGCTGATCTGAGCTGCTGAGTCAGAACGTGTTGTTAAAGATAAACTGAAGTCAGAACCTAAACCTTGTTTATAAACCAGTGACTTTCTTTTAAGGCCCCTTTGAAATGATTACAGGTTGCACTAACGTGGTTAAGGTAACCTGACCCGCAACTCTAAATCAGCTCTTTTACTCCGACAGATGTGATAAATACAGGTAGTGTGGGTGATGTGATGAAGAAGCGCGTGAGCAGAATAGTTTGATATCGACCTGACTGCACTCCCACTCTGACTGTACTCCAACGGGAAACCAGAGGGCAAACACCCCCGGCCGTCCCCTTATTATCTGGGTATACAGTGGCTAAAAGCAGGTTGGAGCAGGTGAGCCACCGATCATTCATGAAATCTGTACATCCGCGTAAAATGCGGCAGACATTTTGGATTCTCAAGTACTGTGTTTTTGTAAACATCGTGTTTGAGCTCACAAGGTTCGAGAAGCCTGGGTCTGAAATAATGTTTCCTAACTCGACTCATGATAATCTGTGCATATATGTAAATATGATTATTTGTGATTGAGATAGAAAACAATCCAAAACCTTTATGTGCCCACGAAGGAATGATATTTGCCCACAAATACATAGCTCTGTGGGCAAAGATCATTAGCATCCGATTTTTAAAGGGTGACTTCTGCATTTTTAAACCTAGACTCCATTTTCTCATGGTACAAATGGCGACAACATTTTCTGAAACTGGTCCAGTATTAAGAGGGCTGCAGGTGGCAGCAGCGAAAAAGGCTGCAATGTAACAACTTATGTCCACTTTAAGTGCTTTCTTTTTGCCACTGACAGGCTCAAATAATTATTCTGAGTGTCTGACAACTTTATGGAAAGTATCCCTACAGAGACGGACCCTTTTTGCTGAAGAGTTAAGCCCATTTTACACAGAGATCGCACGACACTGCCTTAGCATTCTGACACAGAACCAAACCACAGCAAAGCTTTCAATTTACTGGTCCAACTACGCCCCAACCCTCACCTATGGTCATGAGCTCTGGGTAGTGACCGAAAGAACAAGATCATGAATACAAGCGGCCGAAATGAGTTTCCTCCATGGGGTGTCTGGGTTCAGCCTTAGGGTGAGGAGCTCGGACATCCTGAGGAAGTTTGGAGTAGAGTTGCTGCTCTTTTGCGTTGAAAGGAGTCAGTTGAGGTGGTTCGGGGCATCTGATCAGTATCCTCCTGGGTGCCTCCTGTTAGAGGTGTTCCAAGCATGTCCAACTGGTAGGAGGCCCCGGGGCAGACCCAGAACACACTGGAAGGATTACATATCTCATTAGGCCTGAGAAAGCCTTGATGTCCCCCAGGTGGAGCTGGAAAGCGTTGCTGGGGAGAAGGACGTCTAGAGTATTTTGCTTGGCCTGCTGCCCCGGATAAGTGGATGAAAATGGATGGATGGATGGATGGATGGAAACAACACAACGCTCCAGTGTGTGATTTTAGACAGCATGCTGTCATCGCAGAAGCAGAAGAGGTGTGACGGGTGTGACATGTGACACAACAGCATCAGCCTCAAATGTGACATATACGCGTCGGCAGCGCTTCATAAACAGTAATAATGGCATTAACATGGCAATAACAATCACTCACTGCATCTGTTACATGCCTGCTGATCTCGTCTTCTGCTCTGAGGGTAAGGAGCTCCTGGACCTCAATGCTTCTTTGGCTGCTGTTCTTTTTCTTTGAGTTAGCTGCTAACTGCTAACTTCTTTGTAAATCTCCCGGCCATGGGTCGCACACATAACAGGCCGTCAAAACATCACGCTTGTCTCGTCCTGCCGGCTGTCCCTTGTACACAGATGTCTATTTCATGCTGTTACTCCCTCTGCTGCCAGCTTAAAGGCGAGACAACTCCATTCAATTCCCGTGATCGTATCTTTTATAAAGAACGACGAGGCCGACTCACAGTGTGACATTCCTACCTTGAACAGACAGTGTAAAAGGGACTTACGATCCTTTTGTTTAACCAGACAGCAATGAAATCGCTATCGCCAAATGCACCAGACTCAACAGTAAAAAAACAGTAATTTTATCAGTGTTAAACTCACTTAATTCAAAGTTGACAGAAAGAAAACAAAACCCACACAAGCCATCTTGGTTTGTCTCTCCACTGTTCCAACCATCACCAACTCTGATTTGGTTAAATTAACCCTTAAGTATCCAGTTACATGTGAAAATATGCTGGATCTATACACGCTAAAATTACTGTTTATTTAAATGGAGTCTGGTAGGTTTGGCGTTGGCGATTTCAGGGCTGGTTGTGGTTGAACAAAAAAGGATGTCACTCTTTAACAAAAAGGTCTATCTCTGTAGGGATCCTTTCCATAATGTTGTTGGACACTTCTATTAACAATCAGAGCCTATCAGTGGCAAAAGCCAGCACTTTCAGTGGACGTAAACTGACAGTGTGAACATGCCCCAAGTATTTACAGTGCAGCCCATTTTGCAGCCCTCTCGCTCAATACTGGACCAATTTTAAAACCTGTTGTTCCCATTAGTCACTCAGACACAAAAATGTGTGCAAATGGGGTCCAGGTTGAAAAATACCAAAGTCACCCTTTAACACAAACCCCCAAAATTGTTATTCCCATTCCAGCAGTCATATGCGGAGGAAGGTGTCAGTGTTTTAGGCTGTCTCAATCTGTAATAAAACTCTTCATATACACAATATAAACAAATCTTTTGTGACTGAGTGAAAAAAACAGTTGTTAATTGTATCCTCAAATAAGTGTGACAGAGTATAAAACACTGATCTAACTCCACAGATCTAGTCACGGAAACATCGTCCTGTATGGCGGGGGGGGACACAGACAGAAAACAGTTGACACGTTAAATGTGACAGAGCTCGACGCACTCGACTGTGGAGACAGGAAATAAAACACATTCAAAAGCCATGTTCTAAAAACTTCAGTGCCCAAAGACAGAATTTGGCATTGACAAATGCATAACAAAAACATGATAACAGATGAGATATATGTTCATTAATATGTGACGACAAAGACCTACGAGACGAACCAGGTGTGTACAGATGCTACCGTCCAGTTCTCCCCGGTCGAACCTGCAACACAAGTGGCTGATTTTGGCATCAGTTGCGCCCAACGCCGGGGTAAAAACACACGTATCAAAACTGGAGGCTTCATCATTATAAACTCAGTCCATTAGCTGTGTGTACAGAGAGAGAGCGACGTGTTTGTCTTCAGTCGGTCTTTTCTCTCTTTCACTATAAGAGCCTGTCAGGTCCGGTCCAGTCTCCGAAATCCAGTTCTCTGAACCGAGGACACTACACAAAGTCTCCTTGAGCAGAACCAGGAAGTCCAAAATAAAAAAAGAAATAAAGAAAAGGCCCCAAAAGCAGAAAAGGAGGATTCAATATGCCAGAGTAGCGAAGGCACACAATCAGAAAGATGAATATAAGACTTGTCAGTCTCTCTCTGCTTTCCGTCCGATCAGGTTTGATCTGGCTCGATCCTGTTTTGTGAAAGTGCTAGAACATGCGAGACAGAAATCCTGTGTGTGTGTGTGTGTGTGTGTGGGGGGGGGGGGGGGGGGGGGTTGGTCACCATAGAAACATATCAACACTTAAAAAGTTCCTTTTTATATGTTAAATTTTTAAAATACACAGGGTTACTCCCTACGACTGCATTGATAACCGGTCTGTGGTAAGTGCATCTCAAAGCTAGTCACCCAAAGCTCCACTGGCTGCTGTACCTTAGGTATAAACTGACGATAGGTTGGTTATAGGATAATATATTGACATGAATAATGGTTTTACAACAACAGTAAAGTCTTTTTTCTTTTTTCAAACTGCCATAAATACATTTCTTTGAGAGGTTTTTCACAACGATCGAACTGTATGCCACTGTTTGTACGCTGAAAGTGAACGACGCACTCAACTCTGTGTTATAAAAACAACACGCGCTCCTTCAGTTCACGCAAACTCGCACAGTCACACACAGGCACATGTACTTTGCAGGGCAGAGGCCTTAAACACACATGCACTCGCACACACACGCACACACACCGAAGACATAAAGGCACAAGGTATTGCTAATGTTGAGGACGCATTGAAACATCTATCGAGACATATAAATGACCCCTTTCACCCATGCATCCGTTCGCTCCTCCTCACAGTAAAAACAGCTTCTAGAAAAACAAAGAGATGCTTTTTGTTTCTAATAAACATGCGAGAAAAAAAAAAAGAGAACTCACACCCTCGCACGTCAACGGTAAACAAAACCTACAAATCTACAGTACCAACAGAGGTACGCCATTTGGTATGTTAGCGCAGACGGACACGCTCAGGTCAGCCGATGTAAGACTTCCAAAACAGAGCCGATCATCACGTACAAATCTTAGAAAAAGCAGAGAAGGGGGGGGTGTATAAAAAAAGAGCAGGAGCAATGAAGGAGGGGGCGTTGTCAGGCCAGCGGTCTGTAATCCGTCACGGACCTAACAATTTCAGCTCAGTGGGCGTCTTTGACGTACCCGCCAGAGACACTTGAAAAGTCCTCAAAAATATCAGGAGTGAGATACGATACATCCAGCTCTCCTCCTGACTTTGTTTTTCAAGTACTAAAACTGTTCGACTACTGTTTCGCCCGCTCTGTCACCCTGACAGTGTCTGAGGGCAGACGGAGGTGAAGAGTGGTTCGCTGGACAGGAGTGAGTCAGTGAGCTCCCTTGGGATCCAACATGGACCAATAATGTTGGAGGAGTCGTATGAACATGCGTTATCTGGCGTAGTGATGTGCTTACTGGGCCGAGAGGAAGGAGGAGCGGACAACAGCAGACAGCTGTTGTGTTTCTCCATCGCCACAGCTTTGAACAGCAGCAGCTGGACGAGCAGCTCCCGGACATACACGCACAGATGTGTACGACACCAAGCATGTCTTCCTCAACTTCCTCCGATGTGAAGAAATCTCAGGCGGATTTCCTCTTCTGTCAGCCTCCTCCTCACATCCTGTGTGTCTGACCTCCGTTACCAGCCTATCAGGTTGGCTTTGGCCTTTTCTGTCAGCTTGCGGACGCGTCCCTTCGAGGAGGTGCCAAAGGTGATTGACGAGTCCTCAAACAGCAGCTGCCTCTGCTCCTCCTCAGAGTCCTCCTCCATGTACCAGGCGGACCGTCGCCCCTGGTTGCGCGTGCGCATCGACCCTCCTGCCTCCTCTCCTGCCTCCTCCTTTGGAGATTCATTTCGATTGGATCTGCTCCTCTGCTGAGGAGCAGCCTGGCTAGGAGGCGTGACCTCCTCGTTGGCTCTCCTGCTGCTCCTTCTCAGTGGCGAGGGCTCAGGTGACTCAGCAGGAGGAGGAGTGGCTTCGTCAGTTCTTACTGCTCGAGGCCGGCCGCGCCGTCTCGGCGTAGACGCCGCGCCTGAGTCCGACAGCACAGATGTCTCCTGCGCCGAAGATGTCCCGCCTTCGTCCCCTGTTGATTGGTCAAGCTCGTCATCGGGGGTGGAGCTCCTGCGGGTGCTGTTCCGTCTCATCTCTTCCAGCTCCTGCTTGCTCTTCCTGCCTCTCTTCTTGCCAGGAGGGCGGCCTCGTGGTCTGGAGGGGCTCCCTGGAGTTGTGACTTCTGGAGGGCTGACTGGCGGCTCTACTTTGGATTTCCGCCCCCTCCTCCCCACTCCCAGGGTCACATGACTGCTGTGGCCGTTCAGGTGGGCTGTGCTCTGAGATGATGGGCTGGCAGGAGAGCCTGAGGGGGCGGGGATTGATTTAAAGAAGAAAAGAAAGAAAATATAAATCAACAGCAGTCAGGTGACGTTAAATGTGACTGTAATCATAAACCTGTGCACCACTCAGTCACTTCTTTGTGACACCATCTCTTACCAGGTGTGTGTCGTACAGGAGTCCTGAGTTTCCTCCGGGTGCTTCCTCCACTGCTACTTTCCGCAGCTGGAGAAGGCGTCACCTTTTCAGGAGCTGGTGGCGGTGGAGCTGACACAGAGTTATGAGCCCTCAGTGAGCGGGTAGACTCTGACAGTGACAAAGAGATATTCGACAAAGGAAGAAACATATTACACATGGTCAGTTTTTGATAATGAACGTTGCTTTCTTATCAAGAGTTAAATGAGACAGTCTAAAGTCTCCTGTCTGTGCAGTGAATACGAAGCCAGCAGCAGGTTATGTTAGCGTTAGGCTTGTCATATTAGTCAGTGTTACACAGTGTTCGTACAGACACAGATTACATCACTACTGCCCCCACTGCTGTTTTACTTTTATCTTTCAGTCCTTAGTTGGACAGCGAACACTACAATGTTACACTGAAAGTGTCTCAAAGCAGCAGCAGAGTCGCAGCACAGAACAGCAGGAGTTACATTTCTGTTATAAGGAGCGTTCACGACAAGACGCACCTATTTGGCAATATTTCAGGTTTAAACCCAGTGCTAACAGGAAACATACATTACTGAGAAAATAGGAGCTGGTTACATCGTTAAAAAGTTGGAGGTGTGCAACCTGTTGCCTGCAGCTCTTCATCTCACAGCTCACTAGTCCTGCTTAGTCCATCACTTGTTGTGATATTGCAAACTGATAGTTCCCATCATTGGCCCCCTCACTCAGAACATAGAATCAGGTGTAAAAAATCAGGGTGTTGTTCTGGACAGTAATTTGACCCTGGAGCAACAAGTAAAAAACAGTCCAGTCCTGGCACCAGATTATATAACTGAGCTTCTCACACCGTGCCGTCCAAACAGGCCCCTCAGGGTCTTTTAACTGTTCCAGAGTCCAGGTTAAAGACAAAGGGTGGTCCAGCTTTTTCGGGTCTTGCTCCTCGGCTTTGGCATCAGATCAAGTCTGTCTACCAGCTCCTCTAACGCTCACTAATTAACACATCTTATGTAATTCATATGTAAAAACGACACACTGTGGTCTTACAGGCAAATAATTATTTCCTGGCTGGGCGCAGTAACTTCCTGGAGTCTTCCTGTCACCTTGAGGTTGCCAGGCAACTAAGCTAACCAGCTGCTAGCAGAAGCTTCATATTTGATGAACAGACATAAAAGCGGCATCAATCAATTTCCCAAAATGTCAAACTACTCCTTTAAACTATTAACAGCTTAATTATTGCTCTGAGTGTGTGTGTATGATCTCACCTGCTGTGCTCTGTGTGTTGCTCACAGCGTTATGTGAGGAGGATGAGGAGGGTGGCGAGTGTGTAGAATGGCGTGCCCCACTTCGTGTCCGCCCTGCAGCCGGCGTCTCTGCCTTCCCGTTGACCAGCTGAGGGGGCTGTTTGAGGGGGGTGCTCTGTCTCAGAGAGGAGGGTCGTGCAGGAGGTGGTGATGGCTCCTTTTTTCCTGTCACCCTCAACGACACACGTCTCTTCCTCTCTGGACTGGAGGCAGGAAGTGAAGAAAGAATATAATTAAAGATCACACCTAACTCACAGTAAGAGACCCAGAACCCCTTATTAAACATCCTGTCTTCTACCTGGATGCAGTGCTGCTTGTTGGAGATTCGCTCCTCCTCCTCCTCCTCTTCATGGCGTGCCGTGTCTGCCTGTCTGTAGCGTGTCGTGTCTGTCTGTCCGTGCCCTGTCGGGTCAGTTTATCCGTCAGGCCGTGGATGGCCTTGTAGTCGGCCAGGATGGAGCTGACGTGCTCCTCAAACAGTGCAGAGAGCCTCAGACTCATGCTGTAGATCTGGAGACACGACACAGGAAACACTGATTCTGCTGTCACAGTAAGACAGTGGAGGATAAATGACCGTGTGTGTGTTCGTGTAACTGTTTCCGTTGTTTACATGGACTGTATTATTTCATTTAGTGTGCATAATAGGAGTATTATTTTGAAGTCTGAGCTCAAGTCTCGTTGGGCTGCTCTCACATGAATGGCAAGCAAGCATAAACAACAGACAATTTCATGCTCTGGTAAAAAGTTTTATGCTCCTCATGTCAACGAACTTTAATTGAATGTCAACAGTTTTAGGTAAACCTCTGAATACTGTTCTGTTTTTTGCAGCATGCAGCCGAAAAGGTATTCTATTTTGTTTGAATTTTACGTTGGTAAAATATTAACGCATGTGTCGGCTTGGCTTGACTCCACTCCACTGGTGCGTTAGTCCAGTGCAGGAGAGGGATTTGCATCTTCATTACAACAGGGCTGCCCACTTGACGCCTCATTTCCACGAAATTTTGTTTTGTGTTTGTATTTCCACGTAGTATCCAGAGTACACACCTTGTGTTAAATGCAAAGAAACGCATCGGTTTAAAGATGGATAAACCGTCACCGCAGAAATGGCAGAAACGTTAGTGCCTTCCATTCCTGTGGAATATGTGCTGGAGCAGTACAGAGAGAAAAACAGGACCAATAATGCATGGCGACAAATAAGTGAGGAGGTTGGCCTGTCAGTTGTGTTGCCAGATGTGTTACACAGCTAGCATGCTACCAGTGTTAGCTAGCTGAACATGCCATTGAACTTTACACCTAGATAGAGCTGATAAATAAAGTCTGTTAGCCAATTTGTTTTTATGCTAACTTTTTCTACGGTCTGTCTGAAGTGTGCTGCTTAGTTAAACATTGTACTCAAGGCAAATTACAAACCAGGAAAAGGGAAAAACAAATCAGAGACCACTGATGTTCTCAAAGGAATGAATGGACTTCTGGTTGATTGTAGAAATGAGGGGTGTTATCTGCAGCTCTTTATCTGACGTCCCACAGTGGCTGTTTCTGCTTTGACTCCTCTCTCCTGCAGTATTAGTAGACTAACCACTACCAATAATCAAGAAACACATTTCATCTCCTTTAAGTTCTTCACAATAAAAGTCCCCTGTTGTTTTGTTATGTGAAAGCTTTTATTGTGAAGCAGCAAAATAAGGAAACGTTGGGTTTTCATCAGCAGCTTAACACGCCTCCTATAAAACCAGGACGCAGGAGAAAAACTAACTCCAAACCATCAGAGATTCAGTTAGAACCTACAAAAGTACCGATTTTTAAAAATGCCTTTCTCTCTGTCTCCTGCACAGACAGATGTGAGTTGAGTCTTACAAGACACGTTTGTTTTAGGTGGAGAGGGGGGGTTCATTAGAGGTTGGCTACAATCGGAGAGACATCACTGTTACCCTGCGTGGACGCAGTCGGGTGCGCTTTCGGCCCGACTCTGGAGATGGCCGATCTCAAGCGCAGCTCGGCACAACTCAGCACATTTGAAGTGGCAATGGAAAGGCAAATCAGAGCAGCGTGGTTTGATGCAGCCAATAGAAAAGCTCTGCTATTGTTTCAGCTAACATGGTCTCTATGATTCCTCATTCATACTGTGTGTTTAGTTTTCAAGGTGGATTTGGAGAGAAGCTTCAAATACGTCAGTAGCAAGAAGGCCACTTGTGTCTGCCTGTGCTTCAAGGGAACTACTGTGTGTGTGTGTGTGTGTGTGTGTGTTTATGCGTGTGTGTCTCACCCGAGACTTCTTACTGGGCGTGTAAGCTTTGGAATTGCTGAAAATGAGCCGGACATCTTTGCAGAGCTCGATGGGAGATTGGTACTTTCCTTCTTTGAGGGTGTTGAGGACGGTGCCAAAGTCCATCGGTGAGTCAACTATTTGCAGGTAGTCCTGAGAGAGGCAGAGGGATGTTTCAATTACAGGTTTCAAAAGATGAGGACAGAATAAGGAGTGAAGGAGAGGAGGACAGAGGAAGAGATTTTGGGGGATTTGGTTTAGGTTTGGTTTTGAGTGGACTGGGGGGAAAGAAAACGAAACCAGCAGCAAAAGAATTCCAGCCTTCCTCTGTTAACAAGGAAACTGTAGCCCAGTGAAACCTTGAGGCTGTTCACATTTTTCCTCCCTCACAACTTAGATTCAGTCTTCATTTCAAATGCTGAATAGAGAGGTCTGTCCTTCACACCAAACAACGCCTTCGCCTCAAATACCGCTCCTTGTGTAACTGAATTGTAGCCACTTGTGCCTCAGACTGACGGTTCAGCAAGATTCAAGGACCAACAAAGGTTAGTGAAAATGCTAATTAATGTGAGCCTAAAGGAAATTCTCAATGAGCTCAACTCAGATAACATCTAGATGAGCTCACACACACACACACACAATACTGAATAAAGAAACACAGAGTTGCTGCACACGCACCGGGTACTCGTGCAGGTCCACAGGTTCTCTGAAAGGCTCCGAGTCTTCACACTGAAAGATGAGATCTAGCAGCTCCTTACAGCGTCCTCTCCACGCATGAGGGTCATAGGAAGGGGGGCGGGTTCGCAGTTGCCGCTGTGTGGGTCGACGACCCTGCGAAAAAAAAATAAAAGTGTAGTAGCTGACAAAAAACAGCCGCCTCTTCCTTTGATGCTGGATCACAGGACAGTGGAGAGTTTAGTTACCTTATGGTTTCTTGTGGACGTTCCAGGAGTGTTAGTATCTTCATCCTCCTCCTCATCGTCCTATACAGGTAGAAAAAAGGGAAGCTTAATTGGACTGGGCGTGACACCAGATACTATACCAGTATACTATATCAGAATATAGACGCCGCTGCCCTATGTGGTCCCTAATGGAAGACCTCTCATGTCAACCGATGTCTCCAGTGGCACTAGTGCGTGCTCCTCTTCCTCTTCCTCTGAGCAAACATTATTTCACAAATAACCCGACTGTAAAAGGCTTACTGAGGATATGGACACAGTTTAGACTTCACTTTCAACACAAAGATGCCATTGCACACATGCCTATTATTTCAAATCCGTTGTTTCCTCCTTCACTTGTAGACTCAGCGTTTCGTATATGGTTTCGGACGAATTTGAAATGTGTAGGTGATCTCTTTCATAATAATGTGTTTGCCTCCTTTGAGCATTTAGTGTTAATATACAATATCCATCAGCCGCATCGCTTCAGGTATCTCCAGATCCGAGATTTCACTCGCCGGAACTTCTCCTCTTTTCCATCCCCCCCACCTTTGGATGGTATTGGAAAATGCCTTGATATTAACCCATATCTAAGAGGACAGATTTCTAGACTGTATGACATTATTCAAGACATGGGGAAACCTCCTCTCGACCGCCTAAAGGGTTCCTGGGAGGAGGAATTCGGAGGTGAGATATCTGATGAGTCCTGGCACTCTGCAATTACGACGATTCATTCGTCCTCCGTTTGTATTCGCCATGGCCTAATACAGTTTAAAATCTTTCACCGTCTATACTTATGTAGAAATAGACTCGCCAAACTGTATCCAAATGTAGACCCAACATGTGTGAGATGCCATCAGGCACCTGCCACACTTTTCCACATGTTTTGGTCATGCCCAGCACTGGCATTATTCTGGACCTCCATTTTTAAAACATTCTCTCATATGTGTGGAAAAGTTATTAACCCGGACCCCATTACTGGCATTTTTGGAACATTGTTTGAAGGTACAGTTAGACATGAGAGGTTAAGACAAGGGTTAATAAACAAGTTTTTGGGTTACAAATTTGCTATCTTATCCAGAAAGTGACGACACCACCCGACGCAATCTGACAAGAACGCGCATCAGGCACACAACACTCTGTGTGACACAGGATGTACAACACTGCTCCCGAGTAAGGTACCATATTTATGGGGTATGTTGTGCTCTGAATATTTCATTATTTCACCTGTAACCTGCTTTTCAGGTGAAACACAACTTAACCTCTATGTGTAATGGAGTCCTTGAGCTGCCAAACAAGATCAACTGAAAGTACAAATTAGATTATTTTACTCACTATAAGTTATTTTCTTTGATAAAAAATTACATTAGCAATATTTTGCCTTTGTGAGAAATCATGCAGTTTAGTTCAGCTATTAATTACTTTAATAAAAATGAACACTTTCAGGACATATTTCAGTGTAAAGATTTATATATGCAAACGCACCTCATCTTCAGAGTCAGAGAAGGTAGCCTTCTTCATAGTTTTATAGAGGGGCATGAGGTCTGTCAGATTTTGGTCCCTGAGGAAGAAAAAGGAGGAAGAAGAAATTACTATACTCTGATGGTGCACATGTCGTGGGACGCTTCAAGTGGAAACATGGAAAATAATCGCAGGCTTTAGAATCATCAGACTGAACTCACTTGATGAATTGCAGCATGAGGTCAGAGACAAACTTGGCCGTAGTGACAATGAATGATCCGGGCTCATTGAATGTTTGGGCGTTGTGTTCGATATAACGAACCTCCCACATCAGAGAGGACAGGCGTCTGCAGAGGAAAAACAAACGTGGTGAGCCTGTATTTAATTCTCTCTATCACACACACACACACACACACACACACTCACTACTGTTTCTTCGTGTACTCAAACACAACCTGATGTGAGGTACCTGTAGAAGCGGTTCACCAGCCTCTGCCGGATGGTGCTGAGGTCAGTGACGTAGGCCACCACTGTGCAGTATGTGGGGTAGGCTTGTAGGTCCACTGGAAAGGCAAACGGCGCTGCCACATCTGGGGATGGTCGAGAGAGGAGAGGATCATTTACTGGAACACATTCACTGCAACAGACAAGCATTCGGTAACACACTAGGCTGATATCTTGGTTATATATGTGTCTCCTTCCAAATGTAATGATCTGCATTTGTCAAGTGTTTAAACAGCAATCTCAATCAGCAATTTCAATTACTTGTGTAAGGTGGTCATAAAACTCAATCCAAGCTGTCTAAGTCCGTCTTTTTCTCATCTCGACATTTCAACATAATCAACTGAATGTTTCACCGCTGTGAAGCTTCAATCATTGCCATGGTAATCCATGTCTAAATCAGTATTCAGATGCTTTTTTTTTTATTTGTTTTCATCAGTAACCTGGTGGAGGAAACTGTAAGGAGGTAGTCAGTGTCAGACACAAGTCAGGCCAGTGTCCTCAGTGCAGTCATTGATTTCTACTTCAAGCAAGTAAACTGGCAATGAGGACAAGGAACAGGTGAAACGAAATGTAGACGGTTAGCAGCAGCTTGCAACTGTAGAAAAAAAACATTGTGTGCAATAGTCCACCTTCCACCTTCTCTTTCCCCTCTCTATCACTCTCTGTCTCCAACACACACAAGCAGCAGCTCTAAGTCGACCAAAGGGCGGATAATTTGCATATATGAATACAGACCAAACAGGTGTGAGAGCGTGAACGTGAACAAGTCTTGGTTCTCTTGTTTTGTGGAAAACGAGGAGAAACGGAACAAGAGTCAGTGTTTAGTTTGGCGTGTATCTGATCCACCAACCAGCACTTATTGTAGTCGGCCTCTCATTCCCACAGTCTCCTCCCACTAAAATAGCATGGCTAACCAACAAAGGCTGGTAGCAAGTTGAGGCGACAAAATCCAAAATCTAAAGTTTGTACGCGATTAAAGTTCATCTTTATGGATTACATTGATGCCAAATTGATAAGAACACTGTCGACATATCCTCCCAAGACCCTGCGTCGTCATATGAGGACATCACATTTCGGGTTTACTTGACCTTTACTCAGACCTGTTGTCCTCGTTTGTGGACACTGTTTTGTGCCACTAATGGTAGCAAAACCAATACACTTATCCGAGCCGAGTCAGTCTGCAGCCAACCCCAACACAAAAGTGGACAAGATGCAAAACCTGATTAAATGTAATGGTTGAGAGCTGTTTATTTATGTTCAATAGTGTTTGTAGTTTGATATGCCAACAAACTTTACCGATTTTAGCAACGGTAACAAGCTAAGACGCTGTTAATTAGAAAATACTCGTTTAGTTTTTTATACTAATCAGGCCCTAGTGATCCCAAACAGCTAGGAGAATTAAAACTGCATACCAAATAAAAGTTTGGGTCTCAGGAGGATATGACGCCTATTATAAGGAATTGTTAAAATGTCATATTTCTCAAAAGGAGTTTGGTGTAATATTTTCCACCAGGAGCAGGACAGGAAATTATCTCAAAAGGAATCAAGTTGTAGTCGTGCAAATAGTGACCTTGCAAGAACCCCAGTGTTTGCAAAACTTTATAGTGTGTGACTAAAAACTCTTATTGTCTTTAGGTTTGAGAGGGTGTCACACTTTTAAAAGTCTATAAAAAGTCGTCTACTGTATCATAGGCATAAATTCACCTAAATGAGTGACTATAAATCCTGTTCTGTAAAGCAGCTGCAGCGTGAAGCGTAGGAGTAACAGGGAGAGATCTACAAGGATTAAGTGTTCTCGCTCATTTGTGTCTAATCCCCAAACTGTCACTAGAGGGAGCCCTCACACCAGCGTTCCTCCACTGGGAGGATTGCAGTAACACAAAGCCTATTCCTAATGTGACATTACATCACTTAACAGGAATTCAAGCAAGCACCTCAATATGTGGCTCAACGTGTTAGCAGCTTATTCCTTTGAACACACGAGCCGTGGCCCTGCTGGGCTGATGCTGCTCAGCTCAGAGCGGTGACTCATGTTGTGTGGAGTCATGCTGCCGCCGCTTTACCAGAAATGTGCCCTCGTGGCTCAACTTCTCGTCCCTGCTTACGCGGCAATACGGGCTCTGTTATTTTCACAGGGGTTTGATGACGTCGTACCGAGTGTGCAGAGCTGGTCGATGGCTTTGATGATGCGTTCACACTCCTCTGCGCGTGTGCGGCAGCCCCATTCCCCGTCCAGTGGGACGTACAGCAGCTCCTTCTGCTCTTCTTCTATCAGCGGGACACTCATGCCCAACTCTTCAGGGAACGTGGCTGCAGAGGAGAGAGCAGCTACAGAAAATGTTGAAACTGCTTTTGAATTTGTTAAAATGTGTGTGTGGGCGTCATAAAGAGGCCTACCGTCGTCAGGGATGGGCTCCATGTCCCAAGGACTCATCTTCTCTGTGTCTCCATTATCCCAGCTGGATGGGAGACAGTGTTGATATGAATCATCAGCATCATCACATTTAAGTCCTTGTGTTTGTCATTTCACTTTTTATTCTACACAGGTGACGTATATCCCTCACTGACGCCTGACTCCCATAGCGTAAAGTAGGTTTCATTCCCTACCAAGGTTTTTCAGATGATGTGTGACCGTAAACACTCAGTGTCGAACACTCAAACAGACAATAAGCTTATTAATGTCTCAAATTGGAATGTCAGCCACAATGAAAGTCGAGCGACACAAAACAAAGGGCAGCGTTAGTTGGCGTCGTCGTAAATGTCAAACTCAAACTGTCATCCACGAGCGTTTTGTCGAGTTTCTTGAATGATTCAAGACATGAGGTGTTTGTGCAGTTAATGAGTGTTGTTAGAGGAGGCGTCAGGTACCTGGAAATCCTCCAAGTAGACAAATTACCATTACATGTAAACCAATTGAATGACACAGCTCTCATTCTGTCAGTGTGGAAAAGTCAGATCTGAAAACTCGTTAAATTCCAGGATTCAATAAGATGCCACGGTTCCAACTGTGCAGCAGACAGCGACGGGAAATTCAGAGCTGGTTTCAAATTGTCTGATCCACCAGGTTCGTTGGCCTCGAAGCTCACTGATACTTTTTTATCAATACCGGCATCTTCTCTGACAGCTGTGTACACTGTGTTGCACCTCAAGATCATTTTAACTTAATTTAACTGATTTTATGATCTATTCAAGCTTTTCAAATATAAAGGTAAGTCTATTTGTGTTCCTGTGCAGAGGGAGGCTTTTTAGGAATTAAGTTATTACAGTGAGGTAGATTAATTTACATTTTGCCAACAGGGAAGTTCAAGAACTAAGTAAAAAGACAGTTTTAGGTTCAGTCGTATCAGAAATGTGGACTCTCATTACAAAAAATCACTCTCTTTCACATTTGTGGTGGCAATGATGCAGTGAGGCAGGATCACTCATGCATCTGTTGTGGCATCGCCCCCCGGTGAGATGTTCTTGGGACAAGGTGATATTAAGTTTGTCTTCTATCCTGGATTTGAAAATACTTCAGTGTCCGTCAGTCTGCCTCTTAGACACAAGGATAGAAAACATACAGTTGAAGCTCACACACCCCATTAACGCTCCAGCTTTTATGTCCGTTAAACGCATCATCATGATGAATTGGAAATCAAACAAATCAAATTGTTTAATATAGATAATTGGTTTAAATACTTTATGGATACATTATCAGTGGAGCGGGCAGCTTTAACTGTGTGAATACGACCGTGGAGATGATGGACCCTGGATTTTTAGAAGCTCTTATCTTGGGAAAATGGTTTTTAAATGAACTTTATTGTGTTTATTTTACAACCCGCACCTTCCCCGACATCTGTTATGTTTTGCTTGATTTTGTATTTGCGTATAGTGTCGTTGATGAGTTGTAGCATGTCAGTGTGCTGTCCTTTGTCATGTCAATTCAAAACTATAAATTAAAAAAAAAAAGTGGACAACCACACAGACGAGCTGGACTCGTTTTGATGAAAACAAATTAAATTAGTTTAATGTTTGTGGTTCGGAAGCGTATTGCATTCACTTGACAAATAAAAAAAAAAATCTGTTTTATTGAGTAATTTTTTCTGTTTTTCTGAGTATTTTTTTTTTCTGAGTTAAGAGAGCAATAGAACAACAGACACTTTCATTCCTTTCTTGAGAGCTCGATATAATGGAAGCAAACATGACCCGCTTGTTTAGTTTAATCCAGTTTTACTTTGTTTTGGGTTTGAGACACTGGGAGACACTCTTGTCTTTAAGTCATATAGATGGTGTTATCATTAGTTTGTCGACTTTATGCAGGCACCTTACGACTTTGCGGTTGTTCAGACGAAAAGCCCATTCAGATCTGCTGAGCAGTGCAGTGTTTCTCCACAATCAGTTGGACACATATAGCAAGCTCTCTCAAGGAAGGAATGAAAGCGTCTGTTGTTCTATTGCTCTCTTAACTCAGAAAAAAATACTCAGTAAAACAGAAAAAAATTACCCAGAAAAACAAACAAACATACCATGAAAATCAGAAACAAAAATACTACGAAAAACAGAAAAAAAAATAAACTGAAAATCAGAAAAAAAATTACCCCGAAAAACAAAACAAAAATTACCACGAAAAACAGAAAAAAATTACCACCAAAAAAAAACAGAAAAAATTAAACCGAGAAACAAAAAAAAACATACCACGAAAATCAGAAACAAAAATACTACAAAAAAAACAGAAAAAAAAATTACCATGAAAATCAGAAAAAAATTACCCCCCCAAAAAAGCATAAAAAATTATTTGTCAAGTGAATGCAATATGCTTCCGTGTTGTGGCAATTAAGACCTCACAAATTCAACTTTAAAGTCTATTTAATGACTTTCAAGGCTTAATATTTGCAAAACACTGAGACATTTCAAGTCTTTTTAACGACCTGCAGACACACTGATGATGTCACACTCATGCGTCTACGCTGCTGGAAACTAGTATTAAGAATGAGTCATGGTGGAGAGGAAACAACAGTCCAAAGTGCTGCTTGAAACGTCTGTAAAATGATTATTTCACATAAAGGGTGGAAACACCAACAATACACTGAGACATCTTTCATAAAATGGGCTTAATCTAACACCAGCACAGAAAAGATACCAAGGTGTTGGAGATTATGCAGAGCAAATAAAGCAGATAATTTTCATGTTTTTTGCAGCTGCCCCTCCATTAGCCTGTATTAGCTGGAGTTACAGAAAAGCATGGACAAAATACTGAGGGTGAAATTTCCATTTACAGTCGAGGTATCATATTTGAGGGAAATTAATGTAGGTCTTACAGATTTAGAGATAAATATATGTTAAGGATTATGTTAATATCAAGTAAAAAGCTATCGCCAGAAAATAGCTGAAGACAGAGGCACCTGCGATCGAGCACTGGGTAGATGTGGTACATGATGTATATGTGATGGAGAGGTTGACTTTTTCTTCCAGATTGGAACTTCATATGAGAGAATGTGTGAACTGAAGAATCCCTTGGTTCAGATTTGCATGTGATGTGCATTTTGTGTGTTTGTTTGTTTGTGAGAATTTTACTGTCATTTTTATTTATTTTAGTTTTTTGTTGTCTTTTTTCTTTTGTTTTCTATCTTCCCCATTATTAAAGAGGTGTAGACAGATACGGATATGTAAGTGTAGGTAGATATGTAGATAAATATATGTATATATATGTATGTAAGTACACAAATGAGCAAGATATGCCCATGTGGATGTGAAGGAGTTAAGTATGGTATCTAAAAAACAGTGCCTTCTCTCCTTTTTTAATAAATTTATTTATTTTTGTTTTCAAAAAAAATTGCAAATAAGACAAAAACATGTATACAAAGTGAGTCCTTTGCCTAAATGTTTTTGTTTGTTTTTTTTAAATGGGCTTAACTTCCAGTGATGCCATGTGTTTGACACTCTGAGCACAAGTGCCACTGCCTCTCAGCCGAGCAGCAGCACGTCCGTTACAGAGGGTAAATATCCTGTTGTAATAACATTAGCATCACGCTGCCTTTGTTCAACTCTGCGCTACACTGCTCAGACTCAGAGATGATACAACTGTTGTGTTGATGTGGAAAATATTTGCAGGACTTTCCACACAGAAAACTGATTAGGCATCAATAAGGGAATTGGTAAAGACGCAGGCCAATAGGCAAATTGAATAATGGCAGTGGTATCAATGAAATCCAATCAATTCCCGTCCCTAACAGAAGACAAACTGGTCACAGGGTCAAATATTTGACACTTTTGCAGTAGCCAAGTAGAGTCCTTTTGAAAGTCAGTCTCTAAATTCCAAGTCACATTTCTGAAAATTAAAGCTCCGTGATTTAACATAAAACATAGCACTGAGCGATATAACCACTATGTACGGTGTATCGATATATCTTCAAGCAAAATATAAATTTAGACAACATTGTTTATGTCAATATAGGGTCAAGTTGCTTTACATAACACACACCAGTGTTCATCTCTCCTCTCTCAAACTCTCTGCAAAGCTCCACCCCTCCAACTCCAAAGTTCTCCGTCAACACTCAGAGAGACACAGAGCTGCTCCTCTGTTTAATCTGTCTGTTCATACAGTGTGACATCGGTCTGTATGTTGCACGTGCTGCGCTAAATCAGTCTATTACAAGAATTAAATCACTGCAGCCGCACACGTGCAGTACAGCGCTGCACTGCTAGTTTGTGTGTGAGGTTGATCATCGCTGTTCTTCTTGGTAGTTGTAGTCTATTGTGTGACACTGAGACAGCGCCTGGATGCAGGCGACAGATGTGTTTAAAGAAATGCGGTGACATTTCTTATACAAGACGTATATATCGTGGACAAAATGTTTGGCTCCGTCCCTCCCTCAGCCTCTCTGTTGATGCTCTGTGCATTAATAAGATTAATAACCGAAATAGATAAAAAGATTTCAATCATTTTCCAGCACTAGATTCATTTGAAAGGACAACAGATGGAAAAAGACTTTAACTCCGCCCACAGAGATTTTTAATTGTTTCAGACCTACTTGATACTTTTATACTCACGTTAACGTACATTTATATGATTTTCCATTTACATGTTGTGCAGCTGCATATTTTCAAACAGGGAAAAAAAATTCCTGTCTTTGCATTTTAAGTCTGTTTTTATAAAAGTGCTCGTGACATCTCAAATGAGGCTTTGACTTGCTGCTAAACATTTCACCAATTTAGTAGAATATACTGAGGTATATATTGTGTATCGCCATTCAGCCTGAAAATATAGAGATAATAATTTTTGTTCGTATCTTCCAGCCCTGATGAAACATGAATCAAAATTTCCATCCACACTTGGAGTGTTGTACTACATCAGGTTCATGTCATGTTGGTTCTCTAAGACATCTTCTGGTCTTTTCTCATGACATTAATAGTTTTGTCGTGTCGTTTTAAGAGGTTGAAAACATTTTCTAAGGTAAAATATAAATTGCAGAGTATGTAATTTTGACTGTCATCATCGCCTTGGAAACAGACAATATGACTCTACATCCTTTGACATTTCCTGGATTCATTTTTTTTCTTGCTGGTTTCATTCCTCTGAAGCTTTTCTGTCCTGTCTGCATCACACACATTATATCTGACTTCATATCTGTGCCCTCTGTGTGTTTACAGTTTATAAAGTGGAGTTATGCTGTCTTGTCATTTGTTGATGCAACTAATGGAGAAATTAGGAACTCTCGGTTTGATGCAGTCTCCTTATTAAAGCAAATACAGCAGATTTATCATGTTAAAATGAGATTGTGCAGAGATTTATAGCCGTGCAGCCCTAAACAGAGTAAACCCAAGCTGTGATCATACCAGACGTTGTAGCACTGAAACAGGCTGTCAGGATACTGAGGCTGGTACGGCTCCTGGCTCTCAATGGTCCCAAACCACCAGGCGTCGTCAATCACTGACCGAAACCTGTCACCTGCACACACACATCACCGTTAGCTCAGATCTTTACAAGAGACGAACAGTTGACTTCACAAAAGGAGCTACAAAGGAAAAACCGGCCGACCTATAGTCCACTGCCTCTTTCTGGCGTTGTCAAACTGTTGCCTCAGAACCAGGAAGTCGATTACATCAGGCATGTCGTGGTATCTGCAGCGAGACAGAAACATACACATTAAGTCAAAGACAAAGCAATGAAGCATTGAAGGAATGAAAAAACAGAATAAGCAGAATAAAATGGATCAAACACATGAAATATGCAGCAGCAGTTTACCATTCACGTAACAGTGTTTGCTTTGTAATGTCAGTCAAGATTACTAAATTAAATGTATTATAGTGTCCGTCTACTGTCTGTTTTAAGATTAAAATTAATTAGGAAAAGAAACATTAAACTGAGCAGAAGAGAGGCACCCACATGACTTAGGAGAACAGTTTCAAAATCTGTCTACACTTAAAATCTGCATATTGATGGAAAAAAAACTGAAAAGGTTTAATTAAATATGTCGTCACATAAAGTAAAGTAGAATATGGATCATATACAAATAGCATGAGTGCTGTGATGATCAGATACAAGTATTAAAGCTCTGGTCTACTTTTAGAAAGATTGATCATTATTATTAACATCATTTAGATGTTGGTTATGGCCCAATAGTGCTAGCTACACAATGTGAAGAGCAAAAGGAACCAAAAAAATCCATTCTCTCTGGCGGCTGCAGGCCTGCAAAGAAATTGACCAATCACAGCCATCCGGTTCGCATGGGAGTTACTCCTTGCTCAAATTTGCACTCTCTCTCTTACCCTCCGTCCAATCCCCTCGCTCCATTTTGACACTCCTCTGCTCCTCGTCCCGCCTCGTCCCAACCCCCCTCCGCATTTGAAAGTACGAGCGGTTTGTAAGGCCCTGAGCGATTCAGCTACACGAGTTTCGATATGGAAAATAAAAAATGCTTTGCTTTTTTCAAATCTTTCTCATCATCTTTCTAAACGTAGACCATAGCTTTAAGGCATTTTCCTAACGCCTTGTTCACACTACGGTTGCAACGGTATGAGATATTTATGGTACGATAACCATCTCAGAAAATATCACGGTTTCACGGTATTACAGAATCTTTATTACTATCAGTCAGAATGAGCCTTAAAGGAATGAAACTGTACTGTAATTGAAACCTGAAACCATTTTGTTAATTGAACTTTGTGTAAAAAGTCTCCCCTTTGAAAATAACTAAAATAAAGAGGAGATTCTCCGTCCAGTTGCATTTTTTTTCCAATATCATATATAATAAATGTACATGGTGTGATAACAGTCAACTTTTATATCACAGTATACTTTGAAACTCGTACACCGCCGCAACCCTATCTCACACTACATGACTTCAGCCCTGACAGAGCTCAGTGACAAAAGCCCCAAATCTGAAGCAAGTCAGCGTTGGCTCAGTGTTTGCTATCAGCACCTGAGTACTATGTTTGAACCGTTCAAAGACGTAAGCTGAGAGGCTCACTGATGCATCAAAGACACTCCCCAGATATCTAGCATGTTAAATATCTGGACTTGTTGGGGACTTTTTCTGCAAGCAGCAGCCAATGAGAGCACAAGACACGGGCTGAGGTAAGAAACAAGCAATACTGCCGCTGACATTATCAGTATAGTGCCTTTAGAACCAAAACTAACCCTTCAGACATGGTACCTAGACATTGCAAACAGTGGGCCCGTTTCCACTGAAGAAGTTCCTGGTACTATTTGGGGGGCAGGAACTTTACAGGAACGTCATCTCACTCGGCCCTCTCAACCGCCGTGTCTCCACTGAGAGGGCGGAGTAGGAGGAAGGTTCCTGTAAAGTTACCGGGCTCTGTATGTGACGTAATCGTTGCGCGACCATTTTGACCGGGGCGACGCGGCAAAGGAACAAACAAAGAAGAACAACAACTTGCTTTTCTTCTTACGACTCATTTTAAAAATGTGACTCCTCGTCTGCTGAGTTTTAAAAATGCCGGCTATTTTGTTGCTTTCTGTTGTCGTCATATCCCGCCTTGAGTATATCCAATCAGCACCAAGTAAACCCCAAGCCCCACCCAGGAGCTTTTCGGGGCTGTTCTGAGTACCTACTCCGAGGCAGGGACTTGTTTAGCCCCTGTAAAAGTTCCAGAACTCTGTCCTTCGGGGGTGGTTCCTGCGGTGGAGACACACACCAACGGCCCCGGCCCCGTAAAATTACCCTGAAGTTCCTGCGGTGGAAACGGGCCTAATACTTTACTTTCATGTGGGCGGGGTTGTTGCCACTCACTGCTCCGTCCAGCACTCACTGTATTTCCTCCTTTATCAGTCTGCACCTTGTTTATCATCCACAAAACGAGGCTGCACGCCGACATTTTCAGAAGAAAACAAAACAGGCTGCAGTGAGAGTCTCTCTCCATGGGATATTTAAATATAGCAGCTTTGTGTATTTAGTCCTTCTCAGGCAAGCTCAGGGGTTTAGTGTTGCTGTAGCCCACTTCGCGACCCTCTAAGTGAGGATTATATATGCAGTTCACATAATCCAGTCAAAATTGATACATATTTTTAAACGCTTGAAGATCCACTCATTACTAAAAGTCTGTGTCACAGTGAAATTTAAGGTGTGCTGATGGATTCACATCATCAACTCATGCATTGAGTAACATTACAAGTTAACGTTCCACCTTAAAAGCTGCCGGCAGTCGGCCCAGTGAATGAAGTTATTTTTTCTCAGACTCCAGCTGCTGTGAGAGGCAGCAAAACATCCTTTCATTTTATAGTTACAGTTTACTAATAAAACTCTCCACAGTATGAACAGTGGTTACATGAGCCTCAAAGCCAGACACAACTCAGCCCTGAGCAGAGTGACCGTCCTCTACTGACCAATCAGACTGCAGTGTTCACAGCTCCACCTTTTAGCACCAGATCTGTGTGCTAGGTACCCCAACAGAGGGGGACCAAACATGGGGACGCTAAGGAACGGTTATACTGGTACCATCCACAACTTTTCACAGTGGAAACAGAAAAAAAACGTACCAAACCGAACTGAACTGAACCATACGGCTTGGTGGAAACGTGGCTTTTGAGAGGCAGAGAGACACAGTGACAGAAAGAAGGGTAGAGGAGATGGAAGTTGGACTACTGCACAAAATGTTTCTGTAAGTTATCAACCTAATAACTTCACTTTTTGACTTGGGCGTTTTATATATTTTTTGATATATTCTAGTTTCTTAGCTCACTGACAGTCATAGTGTGAAAACCACAATGACTTAAAGACTCCCTGTTACAACACAGCAAGTTGTGCAGTGTGAAGACTACAGCGATCTGACAACTTTGAAAGTCCTGTAGTGTAAATCATGTCTTTTTTATGTTTGTAAGCCAGGGAGCATCAGTCAGAGTGATGTTGGTTGTTTTGATTAGATATTTCAAAGATTTTAAATTTTCATAAACTGCGATTTTTCTCTTTTTTGTGCATTCAAAGGAATATCAGTCAGACTGGTGGTTTATTCATGTGAAGAATGGCTCTTATCTGCTTTTGCAATTAAACTCTTCTTCTGAGTGAATCATCAGAATGCTGCAGACTGTCTGAAGTTCCTGTGGAGACAGAGCGTGATGCTTACTTCATAGAGAAGGATCCTCCGGTCAGTTTTCCGGTGTCGGGGTCCAGGAAGGAAAGTTTCAGACAGCACAGTGTGGGCAAGCCGACCTCGTACTTGATGCCGACTATCTTCATCAGTTCCTGCTCCTGAACACCACAAACAGAAGAACAAACAATGCAAATTAATTTTCACTGAGGAAAAGTCAGCCACACACCCAGGAGCCTTGTTCATTTTAAGAACTCTGTCCCCTGCCTGTGTTTTCTAATTTTCTCCTTTTTTTCTGTGCTTGGGGCGTTTATGAGCTTTATAAAAAGGTAGTGACCAGGTGCCAGACAGTAAACAGCTGGCATGCAGGAGACACAGCGCCAAAAAGACATAAATACCCCTTTTCGTCATGGGCTGGCTTGGTTTAGTTTGGTTTGGTTTGATTTGGGCCGTCAGCCCAGCACAGCAAGGCTTTGTATCTCCATTACAGCAGGCATACCCACTTGAAAGTGTGTCTTTAACTGATGATGACTTGTCTCGACTGACGCTGTTTAAAAGCAGCGGGCTGATCCATGGCTAAAGTCCCTGTTATTTTATTATGTATAAACTTAGACTTTTAATGACGCCTTTCTCCCTGGTCTCCTGCAGACAGAGGTTTGTTTGAGGGGGAGAAGCAGGGTCATCGAGGGGTTGGCTATGGTCGGCGAGACATCACCACTACCCACTTGAGGACGAGCAGCCCGGCTTTTTGACCTAATCTGGAGAATGTTCTTCTCTAGCACTGCTTGGTGTGGTACAGCGTGTCTGAACTGACAGTGGAAACGCATATTGGCGCAGCATGGCTTCACTCAGTGCGGCCAAAAGTCACCGTGGAAAAAGCTCAAAATATAGCGAAGCAAAATGCCAAACAAGAGTGAATCTAGGGTTGGGTTTTACTTTCACTGGCGAGCATGTTTAAGAACAGTAACTGACAGTCCTACATAGTGTACCTTTAATCCTTTAAACCCAGCATAAAGCTATGTCTGTTTTTTAAGCTCAGCGCAGCTCAGTCTTTTTTAGTCATAAATCTACAATAAACATTGTGTTTGTGTTAGGTGCCTGTTCAAGCTTAGAAAGTTTAGAGTGTATAGGGTGTTAGAAAGTTCTGACCGATATATATATGATGCCCGCTCTTGCTCAATGGTGTCTCATAAGATGTTGCAGTAATTTTCGGGTTGGTAACATTTGTTACACAGATTTAGTGCTGAATTTAAACATTTTTTACCACTTAAAAACTGTAAGAAATTTGTTTGCGGATGACACTGTGGTGGTAGGCCTAATCCACAACAATGACGAGACGGCCTATCTGGAGGAGGTGAGGCGCCTGACCCAGTGGTGTCAGAGAAACAATCTCCACCTCAACGTCAGCAAAACTATGGAGATGCTGGTGATGGTTTTCCAACAGTCTTGAAGGAGTTCCCAGAGGTGTTTAGCACTTGTTGGCCCCTTTGCCTTCACTCTGCGGTCCAGCTCACCCCAAACCATCTCGATTGGGTTCAGGTCCGGTGACTGTGGAGGCCAGGTCATCTGCCGCAGCACTCCATCACTCTCCTTCTTGGTCAAATAGCCCTTACACAGCCTGGAGGTGTGTTTGGGGTCATTGTCCTGTTGAAAAATAAATGATCGTCCAACTAAACGCAAACCGGATGGGATGGCATGTCGCTGCAGGATGCTGTGGTAGCCATGCTGGTTCAGTGTGCCTTCAATTTTGAATAAATCCCCAACAGTGTCACCAGCAAAACACCCCCACACCATCACACCTCCTCCTCCATGCTTCACAGTGGGAACCAGGCATGTGGAATCCATCCGTTCACCTTTTCTGCGTCTCACAAAGACACGGCGGTTGGAACCAAAGATCTCAAATTTGGACTCATCAGACCAAAGCACAGATTTCCACTGGTCTAATGTCCATTCCTTGTGTTTCTTGGCCCAAACAAATCTCTTCTGCTTGTTGCCTCTCCTTAGCAGTGGTTTCCTAGCAGCTATTTGACCATGAAGGCCTGATTGGCGCAGTCTCCTCTTAACAGTTGTTCTAGAGATGGGTCTGCTGCTAGAACTCTGTGTGGCATTCATCTGGTCTCTGATCTGAGCTGCTGTTAACTTCTTTCTGAGGCTGGTGACTCGGATGAACTTATCCTCAGAAGCAGAGGTGACTCTTGGTCTTCCTTTCCTGGGTCGGTCCTCATGTGTGCCAGTTTCATTGTAGCGCTTGATGGTTTTTGCGACTCCACTTGGGGACACATTTAAAGTTTTTGCAATTTTCCGGACTGACTGACCTTCATTTCTTAAAGTAATGATGGCCACTCGTTTTTCTTTAGTTAGCTGATTGGTTCTTGCCATAATATGAATTTTAACAGTTGTCCAATAGGGCTGTCGGCTGTGTATTAACCTGACTTCTGCACAACACAACTGATGGTCCCAACCCCATTGATAAAGCAAGAAATTCCACTAATTAACCCTGATAAGGCACACCTGTGAAGTGGAAACCATTTCAGGTGACTACCTCTTGAAGCTCATGGAGAGAATGCCAAGAGTGTGCAAAGCAGTAATCAGAGCAAAGGGTGGCTATTTTGAAGAAACTAGAATATAAAACATGTTTTCAGTTATTTCACCTTTTTTTGTTAAGTACATAACTCCACATGTGTTCATTCATAGTTTTGATGCCTTCAGTGAGAATCTACAATGTAAATAGTAAATAGTCATGAAAATAAAGAAAACGCATTGAATGAGAAGGTGTGTCCAAACTGTTGGCCTGTACTGTAGTTCAACGCACTCAATTGATAGAGTTTCTATTTGCCGAGGTGTACTCTGCTGCACCCTGAGAGAAGCAGTAAGTTCTTCAAGCTGAGCAAAAGTGAAACTGTAGACAGTGCTGCTTTAGTGTTGCCGTGCCTGTTTGTTCAAATTACAATAAAAGATATAGCAGAAAATGCTGCAGTTCAAATGCTACAGGCAACACAATCACACTGATGCACACTGTGCCTGCCATGCACAGAAATCGCTATTTCTGCCTCCACGAATGAAAAAGAAAAAAAGTAAAAATGCAATCCCATAAGCTGTTACTTTAAAGAGTTGAAGTGTCTGATGTTTTTGCTATTCAATATTTTAAAGGCAGTTTCATATACGGGGATGAAACTTTGTACTCTGCAGTGGAAGTATATTTTTAGGACAGAAAAGGGATTTAAGTCCACATGAAAGTGAAACCAGACAGGTGTCGGTGGTGAAAAGGAAACGCAGCCGAGAGGTTTGGGAGCTAAAGAGCGTGTGTGTGGGTGTGTGTGTGTGTGTGTGTGTGTGATGAATTGTTAATAACGATGAAACAACAGTGAGTGATTACATCACTGTAGGCTGCAGCTCTATAGAAATTCCCAGTAACTGCTGTGTATTCATATGAAGACTTGTCGTACTCGTACTTGTATTCGTCGTCCTCCGCTTATCCGGGTCCGGGTCGCGGGGGCAGCAGCCTCAGCAAAAAAGCCCAGACAGTCCTCTCCCCAGCCACTTCCATCAGCTCTTCCGCGGGAACCCCGAGGCGTTCCCAGGCCAGCCGGGTGATGTAATCCCTCCAGCGTGTTCTGGGGCGGCCCCGAGGTCTCCTCCCGGTTGGACATGCCCGAAACACCTCCCAAGGGAGGCGTCCAGAAGGCATCCTTACCAGATGCCCGAACCACCTCAACTGGCTCCTCTCGATGTGGAGGAGCAGCGGCTCTACTCCGAGTCCCTCCCGGATGTCTGAGCTCCTCACCCTATCTCTAAGGCTGAGCCCAGCCACCCTGCGAAGGAAACTCATTTCGGCTGCTTGTATTCGCGATCTCATTCTTTCGGTCACTACCCAGAGCTCGTGACCATAGGTGATGGTTGACACGTAGATCGACCGGTAAATTGAGAGCTTCGCTTTCTGGCTAAGCTCCCTCTTCACCACAACGGACCGGTTAAGCGCCTGCATCACTGCTGACGCCGCCCCAATCCGCCTGTCAATCTCCCGCTCCATCCTACCCTCACTCGTGAACAAGATCCCAAGATACTTAAACTCCTCCACCTGAGGAAGGACCTCCCCCCCGACCTGGAGTGGGCAATCCACCCTTTTCCAGCTGAGGACCATGGCCTCAGACTTGGAGGTGCTGATTCTCATCCCAGCCGCTTCACACTCGGCTGCGAACCACCCCAGCGAGAGCTGGAGGTCACTGTTCGATGGAGCTAGGAGGACCACGTCATCCGCAAAAAGCAGGGACGAGATCCTCCCATCACGCGAACCAGACTCATGCTCCTTCGGTACAGGGACTGGATGGCCCTTAGCAAGGGGCCACCAACCCCATACTCCCGGAGCACCCCCCACAGGATGCCCCTGGGGACACGGTCGTAAGCCTTCTCCAAATCCACAAAACACATGTGGACTGGTTGGGCAAACTCCCATGCCCCCTCCAGCACCCCGGCGAGGGTAAAGAGCTGGTCCACGGTTCCGCGTCCGGGACGAAAACTACATTGCTCCTCCTCAATCTGAGGTTCAACTATCGACCGGACCCTCTTCTCCAGCACCCTGGAGTAGACCTTACCGGGTAGGCTGAGGAGTGTGATCCCCCTGTAGTTGGAACACACCCTCTGGTCCCCTTTCTTGAAAATGGGGACCACCACCCCGGTCTGCCACTCCAGAGGCACTGCCCCCGATGTCCACGCAATGTTGTAGAGGCGTGTCAGCCAGGACAGCCCTACAACATCCAGAGCCTTGAGATATCCAGGACGAATCTCATCCACCCCCGGGGCTCCGCCGCCTCGGAGTTGTTTTATATGAAGACTGTGTGTCATATTTTATCACCAGCCTTTACCTCGGTAAGAATTATTACTAAAAAAAATTACATTTTCCACTGTGATTTTTCCTTTTATGTTCTTAATAATCTGTTATTAATTCAACTGTACAGCTGTAGTTCCTCTGTGTGAAGGCCGTATTGATTTTCCTTACATGGCTCTACTGTGATTTTTATAAAGGGCTTCTCCTCAGCGGTCGTGCGCCCACAGATAAAGAAATCTCTGGATACACTGGGATCTAAAGAGCACTGTCTCTCTTCAGAGAGCCTTAAATCCATCTTTGTCAAACTGTTCCTTACCCGTAGCTCCATCTTGTGCCAGGGCTGCTTCTTAGGATTGATGCTGTAAATCTTTTTTTGTTTGGCCATCTCCACATAGGCTTCGTGGCCCTGTCTGAAGTAGTATACCTGCATGGACACAAATAGTACATCACTTCAAATACACCGCAGAATGCTCAGAGCCGTGTCCTGAACATTTTCTGGTGCATTATGTACATTTCTCTGGAGTGTAACGCAAAACTATAAAACTTGTCTGTGTGCTTCTTATTCTCGTGTGTAATGGACACTGCAGCCACGTGGGGCCGCTGACTTTGGTCTTGCTGCTATAAAAAACACCAGTGTTTTGGTATGAGTGGCCATGTGGCGGGCATGTGGTGAGGACACTGCAACAGAAACAGGCGGCGTGTACCTCGTCTCCCATCTGGGGTATGTAAGGACATCTCCGGGGGACCGTGTCTGTGATCCAGGCCGAGGGAAGCCACTCCTCCAGAGTGAGGCCTTGCTCCTGAAGGTCTGTCCTCTGAACGACACACAGCAGAATGAATACTGGATTAGAAGCAGAGCACAGACCTCCGCCAAGATCAAACGGCCCATCTCACAATGTTAATGAAATTAACATGGAAGCTAATTTGTGGATAAGTTCCAGAATTTAATGGGTTCCTCCTCAGCTGATGCTACACCCTTTCATGAAAATCAAGCCAGTAGTTTTTCCCATAATTCTGCTGACAAACAAACCAAACTGAAAACATCTTGATGAAGGTTATAACACTTCTTTTATAAAATTTAGGTTTTGCATTATGCTCCTTTCTGCTCTTCCTAGTAATTAGTTCTACTAATTAGGGCTGCTCCCTAACAGGCAACCAAACGTTAGTCAACCAGAAAGGTTATTAGTCGGCAAGATTAATTTAAAAAACAAAAAAAACAAACAAACGTGAAACTCTTTTAGGAGCCGCTCCTTGTCAAAATAAAGCCAAACCTATATGATTGGACCACGTGGGACTTTAATTTGAAAGGACAGACACAGGAAGTGTCCTCGTCAGGTTAATTTCCAGGGCTGGTACCTGCGGTTATTCCACAGGCTAGTTAATAACATGTCGGGCAGGAAAATCAAAGTGTGGGATCATTTTGAGAAGGTGAAGGACGAACCCAAGGTGATATGTAAACTCATCTTCATTGGTCGACTACAAACATGACGTATCATCTGAAACATGGAAGTAGCTACATGCCCATTAGCCCACAGACGCTGAGCCAGACAGAGGGAATATTATTTTGTCAAAGGTCAAACTACTCATGACAAACCTTCCTTTTCTCCTTTGGCTGCTTCTTCTTTGGTAACGTGCCGTCTTTGTCTGCTTTGTCTTTCTTCCTTTCCTTCTTGCCGTCCCTCTTCTTCTCTCCGTCCTCCTCAGAGCCGCTGCTCTTCTTTTTCACTTTCACACTCTTCTTGGGCGGCTCGAGGTTGATCCCCGCGTCCGCCGTCCAGTCAGAGTAATCGCTGGAGTAGTCGCTGCGAGCGCGTCACAGAGAGAAGATTAAATACACACATGTATCTGCTTATGTTTTGATGTGTGTATAGTGTGTGCACGTAGGAGACAGCTGATACAATAAATGTGTGTGACGTAGTGGACGTATCTTACCTTGAGCTACTGTGGTCGTCTGGCCAGGGCTCCTTTTGCTCTTCTTCCTTCTCGTCCTCTGAGGAATGCCCGTTGATTTGCCGTACCTCCACCTCTGCCTGGAACACACACATCATTTTATGTTTTATGTTAGCACTCTGATGATGAACAAAACACAAACAGAGTCAGTGAAAGGTAAATACCTCAGTGTTTAATAAAGGCAAAGTGTTGTCTATGTTACTGCACACTATGGCCCACGGTTCAGACATTTTTTAAAGATTTTTTGCCTTATTATTCGACAGGACAGTATGAAATGCTAATGGGGGAAAGAGATGGGTGACATGCAGCAATCGGCCACAGGGTGGAATCAAGCCCATGGCCACCTGCAGCAAGGACACTGCCTAAGTGCATGGGCCACCCGCTCTACCTGCAGTGTATGTGGCTGCCCCTGCCTATTTACCCTGACTTCTATTCACTGTAAACTTGTTTTGCTGATTATTTATTTGTTGTAATTAGAACCAGTGCACCACTTGGTGCAAGGACCCTATGGAAATCCAAGGAATTCTTTTTCTTCTTCCTCCAAATGAATCATATTTTGGGGGGGCTTTACATACTCAAAAACTCATGACACTTTGTACACACATCACATTTGGTGGAAAATTTGATTTGTTATTGGTCTCGTGCTTGGGTTCCAAAAAATGGCTTAGTAGCACCCCTTGAAAAATTACTACAAAGAACCCTCCGAAGATGGTTTGACCTACATGTATGAAACGCATGTAACGTCCCAAGACAAAAACAGTCTCTCGGAGCCATACCCTAAACCCAACAGTTAAGATATACAAAAAGCCCCCTAAGCACAAAACCCAACACACAAATCCAAACAAGACTAAATCTAAATTAACATCCATTAGTGCCAAACACTGTATGTTGGATTCAGTTCCTAAACCAATTGTCTGTCTGAAGAATTTATCTGTCCTGTGTTACTTTTCTCTTCCTGTCCCATGTTTGAGAAATATAGTCAGAAAATGCAGAAACATTATCAAAAAGGTATTTAATCAAAGCTGCACAGTATTTCAAATCAAATCTAAGGCCCCGATTACACATAAAGCATCTTGCAGGTTCCAAAACATGACGCACACAGCACTGCCGTTTTTCTTTTAACTCAGTGCCACTAGTAAAAAAAAGTGCTTGCTGCTCCTTCCCGTTCTTATACTGTACGAACCTTCCCCTGTAATCAATCTACTGTTTTGGTTTTTTTCACAGTAATTAGAAGCTAGTCAGTAAAATATTGAGGCAGAGGGTACTGTCTGTAGCTTTGGTTGAGGGTGAGAGGCTGTCAGCAGATAAACAGAGATCTGTGTGGGTACATGAGACCCTAAAAAAGAGGCTGGATCATGGGGAGTACCACCAGTTGGTCCAGGAGCTTCTCCTCCATGATGGATGTTTCCAGGCATATTTTAGGATGACTCAGGGGCAGTTTGACAACCTGCTGTCTATCATCGGGCCGTATAGCTCTGGGTATCCAGCAACCACTACCACCAGTCTCTCCTCCACTGTTTACCAACTGTAAACTTGTTGTCGTGACCACCACAGAAGGCCCGCCTCTCAAATCATCTGATTGGAAACTGGGAAAAACGATGACGATAAGAGAGATGACGTGGGAAGATTTTCTGCTCTGAGTTAACTTGCGGAATTCAGAGCGATCCCGCAAAACTGCCAGTTGCCTAGAGCGCAGAAACCTGAGGCTCGTGGCAATGAAAAACAGCAAGCAAAAAGCTTCAGTCTCATCAAAAACAATTATAAAAAGCCGCCTCCAGCTGCTGAAACGCTTTCTGTGTGAGTTTCAAGAAGGGTTTAACAAACAGCTCCCCCACTAAGTATTTTAACTAAATTCAAAACAAGGCAGTAACTGTCTCTACCTCTGAGGTGCTTTCATCGTCATCAGCAGCCTCGGCGCTCTGGCGGCTCGTCTCCTCCATAGCCGCACGTGTGTGGTAGCCGTGGTTACCTTGGCTCCTCCTCCCCTCATCAACTGACTCTGATGTTGGATGAACCTAGAGAACGATTCAACAAGAAATATGTATTAAAATTAAAGTGCTGTGTGTAACAGACGTTACGCCAAAAATAATAAAACTATATTTCCATAAAACAATAACGTGTGTGTGTGTGTATGTCTGTTAATTCACTCACCCTGCTCTCCTTGGGGAGCGAGTGGATGGTGCGTCTCCTCCTTTCTGACTGATAAATATTTATCTCCTCCTCCCCTTTAGCCTCACGCCAGTTTACCTGTCTCCTACACGATAACACACACACACACACACACAGAGTCACGACATGCATTCACACTATCACTTCCAAAAACATGCTCCTCTGTGTGACATCAGTGTCGTGCGTCACCTGACAGAGGCGTCCTCCAGCTCAGGGACCAGCACCCTGCGGCTCCAGGCCACTAGGTCTCCTTCTGTGGCCATCTGGCTGCGCGGGGCGTTGCTGTGCATCTGGCGGACACCCTCGATCTGCCCGCTGCGACGCAGACCAACATTGGGCGGAGAGTGCACCTCTGTGGGCGAACCCACCGATCCTGAGGGATGAGATGTCAAAGAGAGGAGGAACAGCGCTTTTTAATTTGTCAGCATTTAGGGGATACACCTGCTTTTGGGGGGGAGTTGTCCCGCTGGTCAAAACACTTGATAAAAGATGCTGAACCCAAACTAGGCATGGGACAATATGAATATTTCATGTCATGGTTATCCTGGCTGAAATAATTTCAATTTGTTAAGAGATAAATATTTTACTGCATCACAGATAGGACACATCTGTTTTTAGTGAGCCTCCTTTTTCAAGTAAAACAATCAAACAATCTTAAAAAGGAAGCCAGGCTTGTCAACTACTTATGACAACATATCTTTCAACTTAAAATATGCCACTGCTTTATCAAAGTCCCCATGAAACAGAAGTTAGAGCATCTTTAGCTACTGTACTGTGACGTATTTCCCAGTGAAACAAGATATTTGAGCAGTGTGCAGTTACAAGAGGGATTTAAATGGGTTTGTATAGCGCCTTTCCGCACTACAACTCACATTCGGCCATTCACACACTGAAAGCCAAGGCTACCATACAAGGTGCCACCTGCTACTCAGTTTTTAACACACTCACAGACCGATGGAACAGCCATCAGCAATTTGGGGTTCAGTATCTTGGTCAAGTATACTCCAGCATCCAGACTGGAGGAGCCGGGGATCGAACTGCACCCTGCTACCTTCTGAGCCACAGTCAAATCCTTCGCAATTTTTTGGACCACTTAAAAGTAGGCAAGCTTAGAGTTAGGTGCGATGCAGAGCTGTTGGCTCCACACACTTGTCCTTCGCCATCAGATCAGGAGGAGGATGAAGGAGAACCAAATTGTTTTACAGGTGAAAATGAAGGTTTTGCCCACTGACATCCAAACACACATCTCTACCAATCTCTCTCCATATTTCTCTGTTAGCTACTACAACCAGAGACAGTTGTAGTAGCTAACTACAAAAGACGATTTGCTGCAGTGTGAGAAAGTTTTATATGACCAGTGTGGTTAGCTAGTCACCCAAAGTCTCATAACACAGCTTTTGTAAACACCCATGAATTCAGGATGAGTCATCAATCATTTGAAACCGTTTCATCTGGTTTTACAGAAAACGAAAAGGGGGATTTTGATGCTTGTGTACAGATATCATGAATATACGAGTAAATTAGAATTTGCAGCTCTTGAATAAATGGGGGAGGGCTGCAGCCACTTATCATTGATTATCAATTAACAATGACACTGTATATCCATTATAACTTCCAAAAGTTCAAGTTGAAGTCTTCCAAAATGCTTGTTTTTTATGAGCAACAGTTTGAAAACCCAACATATATTCAGTTTACAATCACACAGAGAAGCCAAAGAAAAGCAGCAAATCAAGCTGCCTGGAGCCAGTGAGTATCTGGTATCTTGTTTTAAAGGAGACTTAAAGCATTAATCATTTGACAAAATAGTTAGTGATTAGATTTGTGTTGATAGAGTAAATTCTTGTCTCAGCTCTAAAAGTGATTCATTGTCTAAAAGATAGAAAGAAAGACAAGAGAAGAAACAATGATTATAAGTAGCAGGGAGTCTGTTGCTGAGTTAATGATATTTTATCTGTGTAATCTAATGGAATTTATAAAGCTTACATTAAAGACACCCTGGATTTTGTTACTGAGAAGACTACAGTGTCTTTCTGTTAGAAAGAGACAGCTGCGCTCACAGTATACGCTGATGTGTTACAGAGCACCAGAGCCACAGACAAGTGGATGATTCGTGTGTATACATGTATATATGTTTTTGAAAATTTTTCTCTATGTTTGACTAATGTTGTTACAAAGTTGTATAATTGCCTAGAGTTGGTTCGTGTTCTCACGGCAGCATTTACAAGCAGACCAGATCAAATGCCTTGTGTGAGAAAGCTGCTCTTGATTGGTCAGAAAAATCCAGGAAGTAAAGCAAACGTTGAAGAAGAGTACACTTGCAAGATAAATGTGACACTTTCTAATGTCACAATGGAGGGACAACTACGCAGGTTGATTTTAGCGCTGCTCATCGTGGACTATATTGCTGTCATTGTTCATTTTAGTCAAACCATACAGTTTGAAAACGAGGCGCGGCTCCAACTAGAAAACAATGTTTTGATGCATTGGATGTGCTGAATGTGCATATTAAGGCAGTACAGGAGGAGGTGCACATTAATAATCCTCCAGGACTGTAACATGCTCATGTTTAACCCAAACAATGTGTCATGTGACTACAGTTGCTTCACATCCTGGTCGGAACACCTTCTCACCACAAACCAACCACACCAGAGTTCCTTTGTAACCAGACTGAGACCACCTCTTCAAGAAGGTCTCAGTCCGGTTGTTTTGGTGCGCACCTGAGTGTGATTGCTGTGTTCACACACTTAGGGGGCAAACAAACTTGAGTTTGACTGAATCATACCAAACAGGGCAGGTGTGAAAGCACTCTAAAACAGAGATTTTTAAAATGCCTTCTAACAGAGCATTCAGGAAACGACAACATCATCATCTCCTCAATTTGCACCTGCCCATTGTTGCTTTGTGAAATAAGCATGTACGAGAAGGTGGACTATTACTTGGTTAACATTTTGTTAGTACTGCTTGGTCTAACTTCACACTTAAACCCAGCACTGCTGCACCACTTCACGAACTAACAGAGACATCTGCTGTGTCCAACGTTTCTGCTCCACCTCAGCATCCAAACTTTAAAGTAAACTAAAACCAACAGTGAAACCATGGTGGGACCATTTTGAAAGTGGGATTGTCGTCTATGAGGAGTGGAAGGGAAAAGGTAACAATATTTTGTAAAACAAAGGTGGTGTGAACAGAATTTTTATGAAAAAACGGGAGACAATATCTGTTAATAAACAATATCTCTATATATGTAAACAGAGCCTTAGATCTAGTGTATGTTTTCATCACTTAAAGGTCCAGTCTGTAGGATTTAGGAGGATATATTGGCAAAAATGGAAATGAATATCATAAGTATGTTTTCTTTAGTGTATTATCACCTAAAAATAAGAACTGTTGTATTCTCCTGGTCTTGGAATGAGCTGTTTAAATCTACACCGGGAGGAGGTCTTTGTTTATGGAGACTGCCATACTGCACTGCCATGTTTTGCTTCAGTAGCCCAGAACACACAAACCAAACACTGTCTCCAGATAGGGCCATTTGCGTCTTCACACCAGCCGCTGTAGAAAGACGCCCAACTGCAATGAGCAGCACCATAGTTACACTGATATGTAATCTGAAACTGACTTTTTTAGTGTTTCTAGTGGTTTAAATCACAGAGTCTGTTTGTTTTGGAGAGGAAGAGACCTTTGTGAATAATCTGGATCAGAAAAAGGTGATCACACGTGAGAAAAGGGGCGAGAACACAATAGCATGTTGTGGGCAAGCCATCCGTCTCCAAGATGCCAAACAGTGTTGCAGATGCACTGATTTGTAACGTGAAACTGATTTATCCAGTGTTTTTAGCGGTTCAAATCATCTAGTCTGTTTGTTTTGGAGACCTCTGCAGATAATTCGGCTCCCAATAAAAACCTCCTGAACAATGAACGCAAGGAATTCTGGCCGTGAGAAGTTTCACCTGGTTGCAATCTGCAGTTCACCACTAAACACCACCAAATCCCCTGAAATCTCACACACACATCACCTTTAACGGAAAAAATACCAAAAGGCAAATGTGCCACAGATCAGTTTTCTGTATTTACTAACTCTGAGTCAGGTGTATCTGATTGAACTTTCTAGGTTTTCCTGTGTGAATCTTAGTGAGTTCAAATTGCTTGTTTTGCATAATTGGGAATTATGTAAGTTGTTGAAATGTGCATAAAAAATCTTTTTAGTTCGACAATACGCTAATTACAAACTAAATGTTTGAAAGTAATTATGTTGATTATGACAAGACATTTATACAAATGTATTGTGTGGCGTACTTCTCATAGAGTTAATTATACAAATGCATTATATCTGGATTAAAACAGTGTCTGCAAACAGTATTTATTTAACTCTGCTTCAAAGATGGTTTGCAATATACAAATTCCACAAAAAGCTTCTACATTTTAACTGAAATAAAAATACAGTTGGTAACTTTCATGAAATAACTTCTTGTCATATTTGCTAAGTCTTTGGGAAAAAAATCAGGCCCCTCCTCCCACTTGTAGAATCACTGGTCCATGGAAAACAACCAATCAGTGCAGAGAAATCTCTAACACAGCTGTCAATCATGTCATGTCAATAAGAAAGTTTGCTCCGGCTGGTGGGTGGTGCTGAAATTTCATCTCAACTTTTTCCAACATGGCGGTCGGGTCACAAACTTTCTCATTTTACAGCTAAACAGTACACTAAAAATGTTACAATGTAGTCACAGGATCTTGGTTCATATTTGATGAACGCTGCCTAGTTTGACAGGAGTTTACAAACTGATTAACACGATCGACAGTCGAGTTTGAGACTCCTCAGCTCTGATTGGTTGTTTTCATTCACGTGCAGTAATGCCATTGGAAGCAATAAGGTAGGCAGAGAAGTAGATTATCTGTGTTGTGTATTTCTGTGTGGATATAGAGAGAGTTTCAGCAATATCACAAAAAGTTAGCGTATTGCGTTTTGCATTCACTTGACAAATAAAAAACGCCCTGTTTTTCAGAGTAATTTATTTACTTTTCTGTTTTTCGTGGTAATTTTTTTCTGTTTTTCGGGGTATTTTTTTCTGGTTTTTTGTGGTAATTTTTTTTCTGTTTTTCGTGGTAATTTTTTTTTCCTGAACGAGGAGACGAGATACTTCAAAATCTCGCGAGAAGCTAACACCTGGCACCTGCAAGTGACCCCTGCATCCATGGTGACTCCTGCTCATGGATGTATTTTGCATCCGTGCTCCTGCTTCTCAACAGAGACAGCAAACTAGATAAAAGACATGGCCAAACAGTAAATGGCGCTGAATGTATTAAACTGTGGGGCCTTGAACTAATGACTAAGGAGAAATCTGGACCCCGTGGCTGCACCAGTTGGGAACCACTGCCCTACATAACGCCCTGCCTATATGACAACAGTCATGGCGCGGTCTTACCTCTGCTGGACCTGGTGTTTGCTGAGGCAGAAGTGTCATTCGTTCCCAGTCTTTGGTCCTGTTCCTGCTGCAGCCTCTGAATCATCGTGTCTAGAGGACTGGGACCGTCCACCGCCTGCTCACTCACCACTTGATTCAGGCCTGACACAGACAGAAGTGGACAAAGAGAGACTTTAAAAGTGAAAGGCAAACAGACCAAACCTTAAATCCAGCAGCAGCCACAGAGAAGACCTCTGCTGTCCTCTAATAACTGGATGTATACATTGCTTTATTGCATTCAATTCTGTTTCTTTTTGTGGAGGTCAGCTAAGAACCATAGGCACATCACAATGCTCTACAATCAACTTACAGGAAGAGGAAGGGCAATGCGTTTTTCACAAAGCCTTCACAGTCACCTTAATATCCACAATGCTTTTGAAAAGCTTACAGCAGGGCAAAGTTCGCTGTACACCAATATATATATATATACACTGTGAGGTAAAAGCCTCCGAGAGCATGTAGAGTGTCTCATAAGAAATTCCTTTTTCCTCCTTTTCCTCCTTCACCTGCCTCCGCTGTGCCCTACTAATGCATTTCATAAACTACTGTTTCTGTTTGCGCTCCTGCCAACATTTTATACTGCCTTATTAATTCTGCTTTTTAATTGCCAATGCCGATGTAGTTTCAGTAAAAGCCTCTCATTAAAGGAATACTTCACCACCCAAATGACTATTTGTATATCAATTACTCACCCTGTGTTGCCTTAAATTTGTGAATAAAAACTGTTTTTCTTGTACGCCTCCAAGGTGAAAAAAAGAATCCAAAAATGAGAAAATTCAATAGTCCAATAAAAACCAATAGTCGCCATTTAGTGCCATTAGTGGACCAGTCTCCACCATGTTTCTGATACTAATGTAATGATTAAATGATATATTTTGGTGGTTTGAGTTGAAGGTGTGAGAAAGAATAGTATCAGTAACATTGTTAACACTGTGCTACATTACAGAGAAATACAAAACCGTACTAATGAACCTTCATTAATATAGGCCTATATTTATCTACAAGTGCACGTCACACACTGAGCGAGCCTCCTGTTAATGACGCTGTGGGCTAATGGGCATGTAGCTACTTCCATGTTTCAGATGATACGTCATGTTTGTAGTCGACCAATGAAGATGAGTTTACATATCACCTTGGGTTCGTCCTTCACCTTCTCAAAATGATCCCACACTTTGGATTTCCTGCCCTACATGTTATTAACTAGCCTGTGGAATAACTGCAGGTACCAGTCCTGGAAATTAACCTGACGAGGACACTTCCTGTGTCTGTCCTTTCAAATTAAATTCACACATGGTCCAGTCATATAGGTTTGGATTTATTTTGACAAGGAGTGGCTCCTGATAGAGCTCTACATTTGTTTTTTGTTTTGTTATTTGTGCTACTGTTGTTTTAAAGGGTTAGTGTGGATTCACCGAATCATACTACTGATCGAGGCAGCGGTACACCAGCAGCTCCTGATTTCGCAGTATTATATTTGGCGGCCAGGCTCAGTTCTGGGGCCTGTGTCTTTCCTGGGCCTAGGCAGAAAGCCTCTTTCACGCCCCTATGTGGAAACCTTAAGGCAGGGAGAGCACACCTCTCTACCCTTCCATGCGCCTACATGGAAAGCTTAAGGCAGGGAGAGCACACCTCTCTACCCTTCCACGCATAGACGAAGAAAGTCTGAGGCAGAGAGAGCAAACCTTCCTGCCCTTCCATGCGCCTGCAATGACATTGATAAGTGAGACAGAGCATGAAAAGGAGGAGCTGGGGTGGAGGCAGGTTGCAAAGCAGCTTGCAGAGGAAGCAGCAACAGTAGGCAGGCCAGAGCAGTTTAAATAGGGCGCCTTGAATGAGATTCGCCAATTGGTTGCATAGTAAGGAATCATGTGATCTATCAGCTGACTCCCTTCCATCAATCAGCTGCCTCATCAGTTGATTGTGCTATCTGAGATCAGCTGATGTCGCTGGGATGTGAGCTGAGCTTGACATCGTGTCCTGCCTGAACTAACACTATGCTCAATTTTTGCTGTTGTTAAACATGGACTCCTGTGACTTCAATTAAATAAGAATTTCCTCTGTTTTTGGATTCTCCATCGACCACAGAGGCATGCTTGAAAAACAAAGTTTCCTTCAGGAATTCATCATAACACAGGGTGAGTAATTAATATAAAAATGGTAATTATGTGGACAAAGTTCTCTCTGAAGCACAGACGTGACTCTTGTTAGGCTATGAGAGCAGTACGATAAGAGCAGCTTGATAAAAGTGACTTTGATCAGCTGACAGATGGGTTAGATTAGTCAGAAGACGACGGCGTCACCTCCATTTAAAGATCTGATCTGAAGCGTACAAGCAGACAAGTGAAGAGCAGAGCTACAACTGAGTTCATGCCCTCAGGCTGTGCAGTGAGGAGATACTCATGTGGGTCTGATTTCAGCCTCTGTACCTGAGGAAGTGACGCCCATCTGTGGGATGAGCTGCTCGTCTCTGCAGCCCTCCCTGCCGGGCACCAGCCGCTGGTATCTGGGGGCGTGGGGGTTCCCGTCCACGTCCACCAGGAAGGGAGGGGGCATCAGGTGTGGCGCCTGCTGAGTCTGCTCTTCCAGGACGTAATTGTTGGCATCTCGGATCAGCGGCCGGTAGTCGGTGTGGAAGAACATCTGGTCCGCTATCTGAAGCACAGGTGAACGTTAAAAGGTACATTTACGTCTTTAGGTTTTCAGTGAGGATGTAAGATATTCTCCGCCGCTGATCTGGGGAAGTGATGAAGACATTTGTTGCTAGGTATAACATCAATTACTGTTGTTAAATATCAGGTATAGATACCGTTTGTGTAAAAACATTAAAGCTGAGCCTGTTGCATTACCTTGTCATACTTGCTGCTGGAGCCAAAGCCAAATATGAGCAGATGTCCATGGGAGTCAGTGGCTGCAAAATGCTGCCCATCTGGACTACATTTGCAGTCGAACAGGGCTCCGTGCCCTTGGCCCTCGATCTATCCACAGAGAGAGGGGGGGCATAGGTAAATAGGTGCACACTGTAAATCATAGTATTACACTACCAGAGGGAATTCCAGCCAACTGTAGCAGTTGTATGGCATAAAAAACACAGTCAACTCAACATGTTCAAGCTCAAATATTCCAAATATTCAACAAGATTTTACATCAGTAATAAATGAAAATAGCAACACTGACACACGTAGAGTTCAACAGACAGTAAGAGCAGTCCGGGTGGGAATCACAGAGGGCCCCATGCGATGATATTATAACAACATTTAAGTCAAAATGCACTATTATTCCAAGTATTTCGATAACATATATTGCAATTTATTACCTTTTTTTTCAACTGCTAATTATTTCCCACAAGGAAAACTCATCTCTGTTTCACACTGCAGGGTTGTTTTTCATGTGGCGTTGGAATAATCACAAAGAGTTCCCCACTGGGAAAATTCACGTGAGCACCCACAGAAGTTGGAACAACAACTCGAAAGTCAGCAAACATTTTGGTATATGGGTTGCAGAGTTAACGTCATGTATGCGGAAAAATGGTGGATGAAAGTAAATGTTCAGTTGATGGCAATAAACGTTTTTATTACGCACATTTGCATGCCAATTTTTGTTCACATGCATTTTGTAATATGGTATTAGGTTGTAACTGTTAGCTGCTGTCCACATCAAGTGACTTAGTTTAGTTAGAAAATTAGTTTTAGGAGATGTACTGGTGCAGCAACAAGTCTGGGATAAAATCAGTTTGTAATCTAAAGCCTGATGACGCTCTGGGCAATTGAATACAACACATCTTCTCTGAAGCGTCCATGTTGTTTCAACATTACTAGCCATTCCAAAACAGGGCCCTACCCACTCTCACTCCGTCACAGTGTGTAACACCTTCTGTAGTCACCTTCACAGCTGAATCAAGGTTTAGGGTGTAAACACAGCGATAAACTTTGGGACAAATTTTCTTCTCTGGAGCCGAAAGAGAAACTGTCGAAACTTTTCATAACAATAGAGAAAAATAAAGCTTAATCCAATTTTATGTTCTTTATATGTATTTGTAGCATTTACATTTAATTTGTATGTGCTGCCATAGGCCTACCTGAATTTTTGGATATTATGTTTTTATCATTAAAAGAAATAAATAACTCTAAATGAAATATATATTAAAGCCTCTACAGGGAACTTTCATTTTGAGTTGATTTTGGCGACCCTGTGGACAAAAGCGGTAGTGTTTTGCCAGAATGAAGCCTACATTTCCCATGAGCTCTAGCGCGTATTGTCGTAAAGACGATTTGTTTTGGGGATGAATGAAACAACAAGACGGGAAAACTTTGCCCCCACTCCTATCGGGGATCCCAGCTCACCTCTGCCGGGGTAAACGCAGCGGTCAGCTGGTAAGGCTGAAGGCCTGTTTGGCAAGCACTTCCACGGCTTCTTGGACTGAGTATGGAGCGGTGCCTCGCCTCTTTATTTCTTAGCACTCGCTGGACCCTGTCGACGCCTGGCTGGTACCTGTTGTCGGCCCGGATGAGGTGTTCCAGCCCTGCAGCCCCTGCTCTCCTCGTCCCCGCTGGCGCGGGGTGAATCTGCGCAACCTGCGGCCTCTGTGTGTGGCTCCCCGGACAGCTAACGCCGTGGACCCGCCGGCTCCTGCCAGGATTGGACTGGTAAATGCTAGATCACTAGCGAACAAAACGTTTATCCTGAAGGATTTCCTGACTTCCCGAGGATTGGATTTTCTCTGTGTGACTGAGACGTGGCTGACTGTTGGTGAGTCCAGTGCTTTCACAGAACTTTTATCCGATGACTGTTGCTATTTTAACTCCCCACGGACGTCGGGTCGAGGAGGAGGAATAGCGACTATTTAGAGTCACTATAAATGTAAGCAGCTAGGTAAGATGACGTGTGCCGTCTGAGTGCCGTAAATCGTTTCGTCCTGGAAGCGACCTGGGGCGGACCCGGAGACAGTTTCCTAAAGGTATGGATATACACTATATAGAAATAGCTTATCTTCACACCGATGGTCTCATTTGCTGTTGTAGGTCACGCACAGACATCAGCAGAAACGAGAGACTTTTGCATATCCAGTTAAAAGTTCCTTGTAGCGGCTTTAAAATAGATAAATAGAAATAAAACTTCCCCCTAAGCTTCTTTAGTGGCTTTTCTTTTCCTTTTTTTGAAAACACAGCACTACATTAAAATGAACTCAACTGTTTTCTAGAGACTAGAGAAGGGTATACTTTACCCTAAATACAACGTAACCTTTAAGATGTTAATATCTGTATGAGAACAGGCATATGTCTATTTCAGTTTGAGCAGGTTACGTTTGTAATAGACAAACACAATATGGCGTTGTACATGGTCAGTAATTCGGCATTGGTGCAGGCTCACTGTCCGAGGGTTTAAGAACTCACTCTACTCCTCACTAGTTGGTTTGGGACAGTGCTCAGTGGGGCAGACGTGAACATGGAAACAGAGTCAAAGTGGGTAGGGAGAGGGTGTAATGACTTAGAGCTCATGAACACGCCTAAGAGGGAAGAGTGACTTCCCAGCTCAGGAAATGGGACCATCTGAGGAGCACACGACTGCAGCATTAGCCTTGAGCTGCCGTCAACCCCAACAAAACGTAGCACCCCTGTTGTGTTACACAGATGCACTGCTTGCTTACCAGAATTTGGTTTATAAGCACGTCACTGCTGACTGGGTACACCTCAAAGCCCGCTGCCCACCATTTCGTCACATTTCAAAGTAATTCAAATTTTAATATTGAACATGCCCCTGCCCTCTCTGGTGTGTCTCTCCAGGTCCTGCCCTCTCCCCCAGCTGCAGAAGCATGGTGACTACATAAAGCTGAATTCAACCACCCATCATGGCGTGGAGGTTAGGTTGTGTGTGTTTGGTTGTGAAACCTTTCTGGTGGTGCACCAGGATCAGTAAACATTACTTCCTATCAGAGCGAGCGTGTTTCACAATGTTTTATTCTTAGTTATATTCAACAGTCACCTTGTTTATATGTTACATAGTGCAGCTTTTCTATTTGTGAGAAAGTAGTTTTCAGTTGTTGACTTTAAGCTTTTGGTTGTAAACATTTTATTTCTTTATTGTTTTTGTTCATACTTAAGTTTCCTCGATTCTTTTTTCCTCGGTTTAATTTTATTGTTATACCCCTCTTCCCCCTGGCGTAATCAGAGAACGTAACAATCTGTTTCATCTAATCAGGTGAAGTTTTCATTCTGTTCAACTCACTTCAGTCATTTTTATTGCAGCAAAAATGTATCTAATGCACTGAAAAAGCATTTGAGTTTATTATTCTGGCAGGCTACCAAAAGTCCAAGTTGTATTCGCAATATTTGTAATTTATAGAATAAAATAAGTCGTCACCTCCGTGTATCGCGACACTATGCTGATATCTTTTTCCCTCCAGCCCTAAAGAGCAGTGACATCCACCGTTACAAAACAAAGCACCACCTGCAGAAACTGAAACTTCACAGAAACAGAAAATCAAAGAGACAAAACCCTAACTGTTCCGACGGTCAGCCGAGTGTTGCCTTTAGTTCATTCTGTGGGTATTCCTCCACTCTCACAATAGCTCCATTCAATCACAAGATGAAAACATTTCCTAAGAGCTTTTTGCCTCTTTGTCCCTTATTGAGTAAGAAAGACTGTCTGCCAAAGTACTAAACTCAGATGAACCTGAAGCTCTGAACTTTCAATCATCTTCTTCTTTGGTATATGCAGGAAAAGTGTTTGAGCCGCTTGGAGGACAGACAGCTCTGCAGGGTGTTGAATAGTGATGTTAAAAGTTCATGTAGTTCGGTTAAAGATGGGCTGCAGCAGCACTGATAAAACAAAGGCAAAGGCAGAACAAGCAGTGCATGTCAGTTTTAACAGACCAACGTGTTGCAGAGGGTGAGTTGGTTAAATGATGCGCTAAAAGATTATGTCACATGAGTGCAACTCTGCTTGAGCTGGATTCAAGGTTTGCCTTCATTAAAGGGCCAGTTCACCCCAAACATTACAAATACATATTCTTCCTCTTACCTGTAGTGCTATTTATCAGTCTAGATAGTTTTGGTGTGAGTTGCAGAGTGTTGGAGATATCGGCCGTAGAGATGTCTGTCTACTGAATAATCTCCGATTACAGCGGACATTTTACAAGAAAAAATATTCGACGTTTTATATCTGTAGAGCAGTGGTTCTCAAATGGTGTTCCATGATGCCAATCCAGGTGTGCTGTGGGATTTTGTGATAACCACACATTATTATTGCAATATTCAACTGAGCCGATACAAAAAGTTATCACTGAATTTTTAATTGACTGTCAGTCTGTTGTGCACACCTGTTTCCTAATAAAGAAGCAAATCCCACCTAACAAATGTAATGTACTTTATTTATTCTGTTTTTAAAAAAAAACTTCACAGGGAGTTCACATGTGGGAAAAATAATTGTGTGACACATCACATTGTCTTACATTATTTCCCGTTTAAATGGATGTGTTATTGGACTTTACGTTACCTCTAGTGCAAACTGAACATTTCCTACTGCTGCACCCTCACATTAAGAGCATTTAAAGGAACAGCGTGTAAAATTTAAGGTGATTTCATATCATGTAGCAGTGAGGATTGCAGATTGCAACCAGCTGAAACTTCTCCCAGTTAGAATTCCTTCAGTGTTCATTGCTCAGGAGGTTTTTACCAGGAGCTGAATTATCTGCAGAGGTCTATTCCTCCCCAAACAAACAGACAAGATGATTTAAATCAAGAAAAACACTGAATAAATCAGTTTCACATTAAATCAGTGGTTCTCCAATGCTGTTTGGCTCATCAGAAACAGGCCTCTAACCAAGCACCTGCTAACGTGGGCTCATCTTTATTTTCTGATAACTTAGGATCCAGATGTTTAGGACGTCTGTACCCTGAGACGAATTATTCACAGAGGTTTCCTCCTCTCCAAAACAAATGGACCCGGCGATTTAACAATAAATAATAGGGGCTGCTAGTTACGGTTGCTAACACAAAAATGCAAATGACCCTATGTAGAGCTGATGTCTGTTTTGTCCGTTCTGGGCTATGGTAGAAATATGGTGGTGCAACATGTGGACTCTGCCCCCTTTGTAGATATAAACAGCTCATTCTAAGGTCACGAAAACACACCAATTCCTAATTTCAGGTGATTTTACACTAAAACAAAACATATTTGCTATATTTTATTCAATTTCTGCACATATATCCTCCTAAATCCTACATTCTGGACCTTTAAACAGTGAAAGTCTTTGAGCTCCACAAGCCAAGTGCCATCTAGTTCCACTATACTGGAGAGAAGGCAGACATCTCTGTGGCAGACATCTCCAACACTCTGCAACCCACACCAAAACAAACTAGACTGATAAACAGCACTTCAGGTAAGAGGAAAACGTTGTATTTTTAAAGGGTGAACTGGCCCTTAAAGACAAGACTATGACCCTTTTGAAAAAACAAATACAATTATTCCTCTTTAAATAAGAAGTAGAAATAATAGTCACTAAATTAATTCTGGCTGAATTCATTACACTTAGATGTTTTGTTGCTACAGTGTTGCTTGTTCTGTAGCTCATTTTGGCTAACGTAAGCTAACATGACACACAGTGACGTAGTTTACAGACAGCCTAGTTGGGGGACACGAGTTAACTTCCTCTGCAGGGCATGATGTACCAACGTTAAGAACCTTTAAATAAATGTGGCTGTCTAACTTTGTTTTAGCATTTACCGTTATTCTGTAATAGTCACTAGTGTCAACAGGGGTCGCTATTTAGTAAATATCCTATAGTCTCACTTTAAGTTTCTGTAATTTGGGCCATTTCACCATCACACACTTTGTGTCATCAAACAACACCATTCACTGTCTATGATCCACACCAAGATTTGGCCAACTGACCAGCACACTGAGTGACTCACTCGCTCTGAGACTGTGATTAATGCTCTTCCTGGTAACCATAGAGACACAAGCAGGAAATACAACAGTGGCTACAATGATTAACACACTGGGTGAATATGTACACTGGCATATGGGCGTCAGGGTAGTGTCATGATTCCACTCTACCCTACAGACTCATGCCTGCGACCTCACACGGTGCATTAAATGATAGAGGAAACAGCGGAGTGGAAGTGAGACGAGTCAGACAGCAAATAGAGAAAGTGAAAGCAGTGAGGGAGGGGGAGAAGAGTGAGAGGGAAGGAATGTGAGACAAAGAGTGACACTGAGAGAGGAAGAGGAAAGAACGTGTTGTGAGAAAGAAGCAAAGACAAAAGGGAAAAGAAAAAAAAATAAAATGCAAATTTTGCTGATTCATTGCAGAAGAAAACTTGACATCTGTGTCACATGTGCAGATCTGGTCACTCTCTTCAGAGAAGACAGTGAGTGAGAGGCTGTGAGGGTGTCCAAGTGTCTCACCATGTTAAAATAGGAGCGGATCTTGACTCCTCTGGCCAGGTCCCACACAATGCAATTCCCATCATGCCCTGCTGAGAAGAGGATCCTTGGATCAAAGGGATGCGGCTCCAGGACAAACACCTCGTCCTCGTGACCCTGACATAAAACAACATAAACATCGAAATTAAGACTCTCCATTAAATTAAAAAGACAGAGAAGTCATCAGTGGGTGCGGTTACATGACGGCTTCTCATTCAGAATGAAATAAATCTGAATGAATTCATTCGGAATTAAAGTTTTTCCAGGTAGTTTACATGGGAAATATTCATTCTGAATGAGGGTTTACACAGAGATCAGTTTAATCGCCTTTATTCGGGTCCGCGCAAGGTTTGGGGCAGGGAAGGTTTCTGATTGGACAGGGGGCGGGGCGGATGTTACGTGTTAACGTTTACTGGACGAAAACACTGTAGTCCTCGTTCCGGATAACAAGATGCTTGACGACGCCGTTCTTAGTGCCTTTTTCGGGCTTGTTTTGCTTATATTCTTGAAGCAGCAGTACGACAACAACTTTGTTCTGCTAATGCTTCGTCTGTTGAGGAGAAGGGAGGAAGAAGGTCGAAGAAGGGACATAGAATACCATGGTTTGGCGAATGGAAACCAGTTAGTGCAACGAATTGGACTGCTCTATCTCAGCCCACTGCCGCGGAAACGAGCATACTTTCAATTCTTTCATTCTGAATTAGAAACGGAATATTCCAGCCCCTTACATCGGATTGAATTTTCAATCGCATTGGCCATTTTCATTCCGAATTAGGTGTTTACAAGATCACTTTTAATAGGAATGAACTTTCATTCCTAATGAAAAGGGAATTAAACTGTCCATGTAAACCCACTCAGTGTTTGTTTTTCAAAGATATACTTCACCCCCAAATGATCATTTGTATAATAACTCACCGTGTGTTACGTTAAATTAATAAGGAAAACTTCTCACATGCCTCCAGTGACGAACTCTCACACAACTCGTGCAGTATAATCCAAGTCTCATTTATCAAGTCATATGCCCAGTACTTCCCAGACAGACAACCTTTCCAACCGGGAACTGAACTGAAAGTGAAACTTACCAGTGCTCTCTTCAAAGCCAGACTTATGAATGAATGAATGCCTTTATTGTCATTGCATATTCACATACAACAAAATTTGCCATTTCTCATAAAAGAAAAACTGCTTCGTTTGTCATTCCTCCCCAGCAGAAGCGACACAGAACGAGCAACTCGGATTGTTGGAGGCAATACCAGGTCGCAAACACTAATCACTATCATATATTTTGGTCGTGCCCTGTCCTGGCTACTTCCTGGAGGAATCTCCATCAGATCTTAGAGAAGGTGTTCAGAACCAATATACCTCTCAAATTTGATGCTTTATATTTATCCAATATTCCACGAGAGATAAACTCCAGAGGTAGAATCATCTTGACAACTCTGTTGGCTGCATGTAAGAAAGCCATAACTCGCAAGTGTTTGAAGCCCCCCAGGCTCCCTCAGTCGAAGATTGGATAGACATAGTCCATCAAATATATACAATGGAAAAACTGACATATTCTATCAGAATACAACAAGAGAAATTCACCAACATATGGTCAAGGTGGTTTGACTTTATTAAACCCCAAAGACCACACTTAGCGTGAGATTTCTATGCATATTTTGAATGCTGCCATTCTTATTTCTTATATTCTTATGTATACACCAATCAGCCAAAACATTTAAACCACTGGCGGGTGAGGTGAATAACATTGATCATCTTGTTACGGTGCAATATTCTATTGGGAAACCTTTGGTCCTGGCATTCATGTAACTGCTACTTGATGCGCTCCACCCACCCGATCACCGTTGAATACCAAGTATAAACCCCCTTATGGCAATGACACTCGATGGCAGTGCCCCCTCAGCAGGACAATGCAATGGTCAGGAATGACCCGAGAAATGGGACAAAGAGCTCAAGGTGTTGACCTGGCCCCCAAATACCCCAGATCCCAATCTGATCAAACATTTGAGGGGTGTGCTGATACCCCAGAGGTACCCCAGATTCACGGTGGGTTCTCCACGGTTCGGACTTGGGTCTGCCCTGTCAAGGCATGAACACAGGACCTCTGGGGGGTGTCCTATAGAGTCTGGCACCAATACGTTGTCTTCAGATCTTTTGAGTCCTGTGGGTTGTGAGGTGGGGTAATAGCACGTCCCACAGATGTTTGATCAGATTGGGATTTGGGGAATTTGGAGGCCAGGTTGATGCCTTGCAGTTTCTGTCATGATTCTCAGGTCATCCCTGAGCAGTTCTGTGGCGTGGCGTGGCGTGGTGTGGTGTGGCGCATTGTCCTGCAGGGGGGGCACTGCTACTGGGGAGTGCCATTGTAATGAGGGTGGGGGGGCTGGTCTGCACTGGTGTTTAGGTGGGTGGAGCGTGTCAGGTGGCATCCACATGAATGTTAGTACCCAAAGTTTCCCATCAGAACATTGCGCTGTAACAAGATGATCAATGTTGTTCACTTCACCTGTCAGTGAATGTTTTGGCTGATCGGTGTGTTTTTTTTTTTTTTAATGTACTGAGAAGAAACTACCACTCAGCAACACCAAATCTTGTTTTGAGTGCGTTGTACAATAAGTAATCATGCTGTCAACATCTCTCTTTTAAAGGACAAACAAACCAGCAAACAATCCTAAAATGAGTGGAGTCTGCCAAAGCCAGGGTGATAGTTCTTCTATTTTTCTGGTGTGTGTGTGTGTGTGTATTTTACTTTAGTTTTTGGTTATGGTGGTTTACTTGCTGTGATGTTGTTGTTTTGGGTCTATTTTCACTGAGCCACTGATGGTTGTATAAGCACATTAGGGCAGCAACTTACGATTATTTTCATTGTCGACTAATCTGTGGATTATTTCTTCGATTAGTCAATTTATCCTTTTATCAAAAAATGTGTTAAAATGTTGAAAAATGTCGATCTGTCTCTCCCAAACCCCAAAATTATGTCATATAATGTCTTGTTTCATACTCACACCAAAGGGTTTTAGTTCACTGTCACGGGAGAATGTGTAAAGCTGCCAATATTTGAACGTAAGAAGCTGCAATACGAGTATTTTGGGGTACTTTATAGTACTTTTCTATGAAGAATGACTCCGACCAATTAGTCGACTACTAAAATAGTCATCAATTATCTAAATAAAGTCAATTAGTCATCGATTAGTCGACTAATCGTTGCAGCCCTAACGCACATTGGTTCTGGATGGTTCTGTCCAATGGATAACTGCGGGCAGTTTATGAAGGGGTGGAGGGCAACGGATGAGAGGGTGGATGAAGTATGAGCAGGTGTGTGTGTTTGAATATAGGTGTGGATGAAAGTAGAGGTGAAGCTGGCATGTAACAGATAGGAGAGGGACAGGAAATCTTTACAGATTAGTCCTGGATTCTCATTCAGGAAAATTTAAAAAGAAAAATGTTGTAATAATGGAAATGTGTGCTTGTTTAATTCTGCCCAACAGACACAAAGTTGGACAGAGAAAAGAAATCCACATAGCCACACATTAAAATAGGATAAGGCTAAAAAATGATAAATAAGGTGCTTCATAAAGGACAAGATAAAGTGTATATGCAGTGTATGGCTGTGGGGTTAAAACTGTTTCTAAGCTTGGAGTAGCAGCACTTCAGGGCCCTGCAGCGTCTTCCAGAGGGCAGCAGTGTGAACAAGTAGTGAAAGGGGTGAGTACTGTCTGTAACAATCCTGCAGGCTCTGCTGAGGCAGCGAGACCTATAGATGTCTACGGGGGAGTCCAATAATTTTTTGTGCTGTGTTGACCACCCTCTGGAGAGCCACCCTGTCTGCTGGCGAACAGTCCCCACACCGAGCCATGATGCAGTACGTCAAGATGCTCTCCACTGAGCAGTGGTAGAGAGACTCTTTTTCACCACAGCAGTGGAGTTTATAGTCCACTTGAGGTCCTCGGTTCCCACTAGGGATCCTCTGTAAGCTGTCTCATTGGTTATTGGTGTTTTAAAAGATTTAGCTTGAATTCACCAAAGTCCCACCTAACACAAACTAACTAACTGATGGAGTCAGTGATAGACCAGCAGCTCCTGTGTTCAGCCAGGTAAATTAATTGTTTTTGTCAGTGGAGTCTGGCCTTAAAGAGAGCTTAGATACGTTTCACTTTTAGTTCAGTTCTCTTGAGGAAGTCCTGAGCATACAACTGGATACATGAGACTTGGATTATACTGCATGAGCTGTGTGAGAGTTTATGAAGTGATGTTTTGATATAGTTCTGCTGTACCCCATGACTTTAATTCACCACAAATTTGTCAGAGTGGATTCTTTGTTCACCAGAGGCATGTGAGGAAACACAATTTTCTCCCTGAATTCAAGGTGACACAGGGTGAGTGACGGATATACAACTGGTCATCTGGGAGGTTAAGTATTCCTTTAATGGACTAAACCTCTTCCTGTGAATGTATTAATGGGCATTCTCATAGCCCAGCGTTCAGAGCAGCTACTGAACCAAAACTCTTTTCATTCAAAAAACAACCAAATTCATATTCGTAAATTTTTAACAAACATCTACATTTACTTTTTGTTTATCTTCTGGGTTTGAATGTATTGCTTCAAAGACAACTATCAAATGTCCCACACCCTTGAATGCATCAGTAGAGGAGTTTCTGACAGTCCTCACATTACCATGACCTTATAATGAAACTGAGAAAGTGAGAAGTCAGTTGCGAATTTGATAAGACACCTTTAAAATCTCACTAAAGATAAGTTCATATGAGCATTTACTTTTCATTGTGTGTTTTTTCATCTGTGTTTGTATGTGAATGTCTTAAATCACTACATACCATCAGGACGTGGACGAGGTTGCCGGTGATGGAGTTCCACACCTTCAGCGTCAGATTGTTGGCCGCTGTGATCACCGTACCGTCGTGGCGATCCCATGCTACCATAGTAACCTTCAGCTTGGTCACTTTGTCTTCCAGCGGGGGAGGATTGTACTTCCTGAAGGGAAGACGGTGATACACTGATGTCAAGTTTGGAACAATAAAAGTCAGTGTGGTTTACTCTGTAAACACAAACTGCATAAAGGAGCAAATAAAAGACAAACTGTAAAATCATTAAAATGTGATTAAAAACACTGAAAAGTTCACCTGGTGATTCCTGCTAAGAATAGTTAATCTGCTGTCGTCACTTCTTTACACCATTAATGAGGAGCGAGCCACTCTGACAGCGACACCTTTGTCTCTTTACTGTTTAAGATAATTATTCACAACATCTGCTGTTGTTGTTTACGTATGTAAACTGTGAAAAACAGCACATCAAAAACATTTCATCACTTTCTTGTACAAGTCCCTGACTCAGACTTTATGCACGTTAAGCCCCGTTTCCACCAGACACTTGGAGTATGGCACCTTTGGAACCAACAGTAACCCTTCAGACATGGTACCTAGACCCTAGTGTTTCCACTGCAAACAGTCCTCTTAAATGTGGGCGGGGTTGTTGTCACTCACTGCTCCGTCCAGCACTCACTGTATTTCCTCCTTTATCAGTCTGCACCTGGTTTATCGTCCACAGAACAAGGCTGCACGCCGACATTTTCAGAACAACATTGAACAGGCTGCAGTGAGAGTCTCTCTCCATGGGATATTTACAAATAGCAGCTTTGTGCATTTAGTCCTTCTCAGGCAAGCTCAGGGGTTTAGTGTTGCTGTAGCCCACAGGAACGACACTCTGTGACACTTTTTTTCCCTACAAGTGAGGATTAGAATATATGCAGTTCACATAATCTGGTTGAAATAAATATATATTTTTAAACACTGAAGATCCACTTATTACTAAAAGTGTCTGTCAAGAGAGACAATAAAAACTAATGGAATGGTCAAAGTTGTCACAGTGAAATTTAAGGTGTGCTGATGGATTCACGTCGTCACTTCATGCACTGAGTAATAGTGATAGTAACTAATGTATGTAAAACTCTCCACAGTATGAACAGTGGTTACATGAGCTTAAAAACCAGACACAACTCAGCCCTGAACAGAGTGACCGTCCTCTACTGACCAATCAGACTGCAGTGTTCACAGCTCCACCTTTTAGTACCAGACCTGTGCGCTAGGTACCCCAACAGAGGGGGGACCAAAAATGGGGACGGTACGGAAGGGTTCCATTGGTACCATCCACAACTTTTCAGAATGGAAACAGGAAAAAATGCGTACCGAACTGAACAGTACCGTACTGCTCAGTGGAAACGAGGCTTTAGAGGCCTTACCAAAGGCTTAAAATTGTTTGTATCAGTCATGTTACATTGTGATGATTTAAGATCATTCAACTCTTACCCAGTGTTTGTTGTGGTTTTCACTTTTTATCATAACATCCAAGCTTCAGCACCGTTATTACAGACAATTAAATATATATATATATTTTTTAGAGAAATAGGTAGACTCAATAAAGTCAGTATTTATTTTCATTGCTGTCTCATGTTTGTTGTGTTCATTCAGGCAGTAATGACTTCAATTGCCCATCAGTGTCATCTCCATTCATCCACTGTCGCCTCATGCCTGCCGTAAATCTATATTCTGTCTGGGAGCAGTCAGGTAATCAATCACTGTGTCACACTTGATGCCACAGGTGTTAAAGTGTTGTTTTGTTTCTTTTACTGAAGTATTTACGTGCTGTGGGTTATACACTTAATGCAGATGTAAATAATTGCTGCTGGTGCAAACGGCATTAAGTCTATTTTAACTATCTCTAAATAAATGTTTGGGCTTCAAAACTGTGCTTAGTTTCCACGGGGAATATTCATACACAATAAGTGTGGGACTTTTGTACACAACATGATTGATTTTTGTCAAATTTAGACTGACAACAGAAACCCGCAGGATGATCCCAACCCACGGCTGTGAGCTCTGCACACGGCAGCGCTGGTGGAAAAGCCAGACTCTGTCAGCTGCACACACACACATACCCGGGTAATTTGGTCTGCATGTCCAGCAGAATGCTCCTCCAGCCCTGAGGCTGCAGCTGCCAGATTCGTGCTGTACCGTCCCTGCTGCCGCTTACAAACCTACAACACACACACAGATTTGTGAACACAGCTTCATGCAGCAGATCAACTGTAAATATAACATTTGGTCTTATTTCAGCTTTCTGCAGCACAATGAACGCTTTCATCTCTGCACATCAGGGTACACTAATTGTATGTAACCCCCCCCCCCTTCCTTCTCCCTACTACTTCTCCATCTCCTCCACCCTCCTTTTTGCATAGACAGTCTTCCTCCTTCACTGCTGAGATTACAGCGACCCAGGGGAATTACAGCTGAGCTTGTTTTTCTGCAAACTCCACACAGGCACACGCAATTTAACACTCTGAGAGTGCATGATATGTGCAAGTGTGTGCATGTGCGTGTTAGTGTATGTGTGCTACATAATAGGTGTAGTTAATTTTTGTATGTGCACTGCTGTTAGCCTGTATGGAACCTTTGGGTGTTGTAATGTGACTTGATGGTGTCAGCAGAAACACCAACTTTACTTACTATTTAATACACGCTCTAATACACGTCTTCTCTCTCAAACACACACGCATAAACACACACGCTAACTGTGCAGACCTACCTGTCACTGCAATGTGAGAACTGGATGCTGTCGACTTTGTCCTGGGTGAGAAAAACACAGGAGCAAAGTCAAAACAATGTACTGAGAGACAAACAATTCCTCCGCTCGTCTTCCAAATCATGACAGTTTTATTGTGTATTACCAATAAATTATATATTTAACACAAAATCTCAGCTCAAGGTCAACTTACTAGCTTTTTCCAGAGCTTTCAACTGCATCCCATGGACTCAGTTGATGGGGTTTGCTCAGTTGTCATGAGCACAACTCATCTGGACAATCTCTGAAACAACTGAGCAAACTCCATCTACTGAGGAAGTCCATGAAATACAGCTGAAAGCTTTTGGGTGAAAAGGAAGTAAGTGGACATTTAAGTTTTTGGTCAAACTATTGTTGCCTAAGTCAAGACCAAGTCCAGACAGGTATTTTAGTGACCAGGGTTTTTCAGTGCGGATTCAGGTGTTAGAAACACATCGGAAATGCTTTTAAGACCTTTTCAATATAATGTTTAATCAAATTTAAGACAGATTTTTGGTCGAAACATTGTTTTTCTTATATAAGCATTTCAGGTCAGTACAGAAGTAAAAAGTAGATATATATATGCGGTCCTGTGCAGAGGTATTTTTCATGTACGAATATGGTTATTAGAGTATTATTTGCAAACAGGTAGGTGCAAGTATAAAGCAAAAGACAGTATTAGGTTTTAAGATTTGTAACATCTGAAATTTGGACTTTCATATAGAAGTTTTTGACTCATTTTGACAAAGAGAAATTAAAAGATGGATAATTTAAGACGCCCTGGTTTTCCCTCCTTTGTTCTCAAAAACACCCTGTCAACTAACACTGTTCTAAAAAAATTCTGTCCAAATTAAAATCCCAAAACAAAGTTAAAGCACCGTCGAGAGTAGGGCCACCCGCTCCCTGATAGTCAACCAAACATTAGTCGACCAGAAAGGTCATTAGTCGGCAAGATTTCATTGGTCGCTTAGTTGCAGAAAATAGCAAACTCTATTAGGAGCTGCACCTTGTCAGAATAAATCAAAACTGATATGACTGGACCATGTGGGAATTTAATTTGAAAGGACAGACACAAGAAGTGTCCACGCTCAGCAGTCAGACAGGAGTCAGGTTAATTTCCAGGGCTGGCTAGTTAATAACATGTCAGGAAACTAGTCGACTAATGGCCCTAAATGACAACTATTGGTCGACAAGGGAAATTCTTAGTCGGGCAGACCTAGTCAAGAGTATGCCAGACCAACAGGCAGCTACAGCATATAACCCTAAAGCCACTCAAAAAGAATATGCTGACCAATTAGAAGCCTTAAAAAAGCTGTTGCTGGAAGGCTACCTGCAGCAGTGACCTCCATAGCGCATTATGTTGCCTCTGTTCCTCAATATAGTGAAAATGTACATGCACAATCATGTGTAAAAGTCTTGTTAGCAAAGATAAAGCTACCACTATTTTAGCGATGTCCACAATTGCACAAAACACCTCACAAAGAAACAAACAGCGCACACTCTGATGTCATGAGTCAAAAACTCGGACAACGGTTTCTGAAAATCTTCAGCACAGACAAAGTTTTACAAAGGTTTTTTTGTGTGTGTAGATGAAAGGCCATAACAAAGATACTTTTGTCTGTGTGCACTTGGCCCAAAAATGAACGTTCATGATAAGCATAAAAAAATGAAAACAGATAAACCAAGTCTTTAATAAAACTTGTTGATACATAAGTCAAATCAATTTTAAGCCTCTTACTGTGACGCACAGAGAGCTCCTTTGAAACACAGTTTTGTTTAAAAAAAAAAAAGCGACTCACTGTGTGAGACTCAAGCTCAGAGATCTTCTCTGGTTGGCCTGAGCCGAAATAGTACACCCTGATGATGTGATCTGTACTTCCTGTGGCCATGAACATACCACCTGCACACACACACATACACATACAGGGTAAGAGAAATTAAATGCATGTATTCCAATATGTTTTTAAAAAAATGCACATCAAGATTCAAACTCTGATGAAACAAAAACTTGCCAAACTTGTCTAGGAACTTCAAACTTGTCTTGTGTTTGTTGGTGCAAACTTTCTGCAAAAGTAACTTTAAAGTCATTTATTGAAAATTCAAGGTTAATTTCATCTCGAAGCAGAAACACACTCTCAAAAACTGTGAAGCGCACTTATCCCACATTTAGTGGAAAGCAGCAGGCCCACTCGAGTGTGGCTGTCTGCTGTGCTTGCTCTCCACTTAATCTGGGCTAATTGTACACATTTTTTCTGCTCTGCTGCAGTTTCCCCTCCGGTGGTCTCGAAGCATGCGTGAAAATCAAAAGCGAGCCGTGCTCACCTGCGCTGAAGGAGGAGCAGATCATCTGGACGCCAGGTCTGGAACGCTCCGTGAATTTACTGGGCCTCTGCCTGGACACAGACAAATAGAAACAGACATTTAAAGTGAGGCACACTGAGCTGCCAGGCTGTATGTTTTTAATAGAACGGGTTTCACAGGCTTCCTTTCTGCTCTGTATTACTCATACAGCACTGTGAAACTCAATCTATGAAGCATTAAAGAAAGCCAGTAATCTATTATTATCATACATGACAATATAATGACATTTTGGCAAACTGCTTCACAATATGTTGGTGCGGAGGGTGTGAACGGCACTTGTGCAGGTGAGACCGTGCATACTGTGTGTACTGCGTAAGCGTTTCTCACCCAAACTTGAGCGTGCGTGCGTCCCACTGCCAGAAGCAGATGGTGCCGTCAGCTCCGGTGGAGGACAGGTAGCGCTTTGAGCCGCAACAGAGAGGCGAAAACTGCAAAGACAACCAATTAGAGGTTACAGCTGAGGATAATGGGCGATCAGAAGATGCTGCTCACACAACAGCAAAAAAAAAGGAAAGATAATTAACCCACATCAGCTAAAAAAAGCTTCTCTATCAGTGTAGGAAGAAGTGAGATTAGCATGCAAGCTTAAAACACACAGATAAACATGTAAACATAAAAAAAATAAAAGCTCAAACACAAATATTAAACAGATAACATAGAGACTAAACTCTGTGTATGATCAAGCAGTTTTTTCCATTTTCATCTGGGGCCAGGTCGTGGGGACAGCAGGTCGCGCAATGTTCTATATTCCTCTTATTGCTGACAAATCCAATAGAAAGCCCAAAACCAACAATGAAGGAGCCCTCCAGAAAGTGTTGCCTGTGCACCCAATGTCTAATGTAGCTCATTCCTTTGTGCTATAGATCTCCACTGTTGTCCACCAATCAACTGACTGTGGCCGTTTCCTCCTATAGTTAGCCAATCAAATTTTGTCATGATCTCCTTCAGCCATTCATGCTGCTGCTGCCAAACTTTAAATCTGTTCTCCTCTCTGCTCCTGTCAGCCGTCATGTTAGGCAGAATCGTCATGCCCTCCTCCACCACATTCACCTCCTGTGACCTTATCCAGAGCCCAGGATGAGCTCATCAAAAGCCCACCCCTCAGCACCCTCTTCATCTCATCACCACCACTAGCATCTAGACATCATGATGTGGTCTAATCTCCAAATACTTATGTGCTCATGTAAATAAATATTCTTTTCTCTCCTGATTTAACTGCCATAAATACTTACTAGCATGTATTAATTTGTAACTGAAATCAGTCCCTAACAAAATACATTATTTACTCCTGTTTAGGTTTGCAACGGCAGACCGTTTTTAAGGTGTACCGTGATATTAAAATTGACGTTTTTAATACCGTGTACATTTGCTTCTCTATGATATTGAAAAAAAAAAAAAAAAAAAAAAATGCAACCGGACGGAGAATCTCAACTTCATGTTGGTAATTTTAAAAGGGAGACTCTTTATTCAAACTTCCATTTTAAAAAATGGTTTAAAGTAGGGTTGCAAAGCTAAATGTCAACTTTATTTTACTTTTTACACAAATTTCATGAAAAAATAGCCCAAAATTAACCCCTCTGTTTTCAATCCCCATGGGGAAATTCATTTTTTTTTTCGCTCTGTTGTCATACACACACAGGCCCACATGTACAACACATGTACAAACAGGACCTATACATGTATTAAATGGAGAGATGTCAGAGCAAGAGGACAGGTGCCCCAAGCAGCTGAGGGTTTGGTGCCTTGCTAAGGGGCATCTCTGCAGTACCCAGTAGGTGAACTGGCACCTCTCCAGCTACCAGTCCACGCTGCATATTTGGTCTGGATGGGACTTGAACTGACAAACCTCCAGTCCCTCTGCCGCCCCATTTAAGGATTATTTTGACGTATAATAATAACTCTGCTATATTTTCTGAGACCGTTTTCATAGCTTGAAAATCTCATATCACTGCAACCCCTCGCCTGTTTGGGTAACCTTTGCTAAAAACTGCAATATCCAGCTGTTTCAGGAAATGCCTAATAATAATAAATTCATTTGATATAGCTCCTGCCACACTCACAAAGTGCTTCACAAAAGAAGACAATAAAACCATGCAGTCAATAGAAACAAAAGCCACAAAAGACCATAAAACAGAGACTAAACAGAGGTCACTGAGGACCGTAAATGAAACACACCAAGGAACAAGAATCTAAACATCCCAGGGTGGGACAAAGGCCATTATAGTCTTTTAAGACAAAAAGAGCTAATATTTATTTATTTATTTATAGATTTGTGTCTTCAGTAGGAACAAACAACAGACAGACATAGTTAAAGAAGGTGGATGCCAACACAACAAGAACCACCCAGCCTGCCTCATCCTTTAGCGACCGGCCCTGTTATGCAAATTTCTGATTGTAAAAATGAGTCTTATGGATATCAGCCAGTCATGCCGTCTTTTGTCCATATGTTGGAGGTTACTTCTCCTTGACCTCATCGCCTGTAATAGCTGCGGCGGTAGAGTTTCAGTTTGTCGTGATCTAAATGTTGTTTTATTGGCTTTTCCATTCTACAAAGAATACAGTTACACTGAATACATCATATTTGGCAGCTTAAATTAAATAAACATGTGCAACTCCAACAAAAACATCAGCCAGGCTGCAACTTTAGTCTAACAAGAGTTGCTTGAACTTTTCACTTTGGGAGGAAGTTTCTACAACAGCCTGCTGCATCAGTCTAGAGCCGCTTTTTTGGGTTTGGAATCCATCGATAGCCTCACTGGAGGAAATCAAGATGAGCCTATTCTAATGAGGTCTGGCAAGATTTAGACAAAAAAGGCTCCAGGTCACAGATGTATGAAGCATCTTTTAGTTGACAAAATGTTGAAACATTTTTTATGTGCTGCATTTAGAGAATGCAAGAATTCATTTTGGAAATACACACAAACATTCACACAAAAGCACACAGTCTGACCATCCTCTTACCTGCAGTGATGTGATAGACGCTGCATGACCCTCCAGGACGGCCAAAGGGGCGCAGGTCTGTAAGCACCACACCCTGATGGTCTTGTCACAGGACCCGGCCGCGATCATTGTGTTCTCGTAGCTGACGGCCATGTCGGAAATCTCAGCGGCGTGGCCACGGAGCGTCGCCAGCAGACGCCCGTCATCTGTTCCCCAGATCTTCACCAGGCAGTCGTCTGAGCCCTGGAAGAGAAAGAAAGCGTCGCCAATACAGTTATCAGACGTGAGTGAAGACTGGTATTTTATATAGCTTGAGAAGTGGCGTGTCTGCCTCTGCCTCACTTCTGGAAAGACAAATTGAACATGTCAAGTTCAAAAAGACTTTTAAAATATATCTGGGCACACTGCAGCCTCAGACTGTCAGCACACTCACAAACTTGGAACACAAACAGATGAGGAAATGAGGTTCTTCAGATGCAAAAATAGAGGTGATTAATCTGTACTGTGTCAAACAGAAACTGGCAGTAAACATTTCAAGGCGTTTACATGCACAATACTAATGTGATTAATACCAGTGAGGATGACAAGGGAACACTGCAGCTGTCATGGAGACCTCCTCACGAGATCATCTTAGACTAACTTAAAGTTTAAAGTATCAAACATTAGAGTATGTAGTGCCAAATCAACACGCGATGTTGTTACCATAACGTGGGTATACATTAGTCGGACTGTGTTTAATTACTGTATATATTTTTACACCTGTAATGACTCAAGTTTGAAATGCTTAGTTGCATTTTCACACACCAAGAGCAGCTGTGCTATCAAGGGTCATTATAGTTAATTAAAACTAAACTAAAAACTAAAACCAGGTGTGAAATAGCATTTTAGTTAACTGAAATAAAAATAAATGCTAGGCTTCAGGGGGATAAACAACTGAACTAATATCGTGTACCTACAAAAATATACAGGAAATATCTTTGTTTTCATAGTCCTAATTTTAGCTCTTGTCAATTTGCTTAAATCTGTAAACACAACAAGCATGAGGAGACACTGGTGCATACGTTTGGGACTGGGATGTCTACATGTGTGAGTCAAAGTGTTGTGTTTTTGTATTGTAATATATATTCTGAAGTTCTTCAACCTTGCCCCTGACAAATACTCTTCATATTATAATAAAAATATGAATAGAACTAATACTAAAACTAACAAAAACAAAACTAAAACGAGCAATAAAAACTAAACTGAAAGCAAACCCACTCTGGAAACTAACTGGAACCAAACTGAACTGAAAATTAAAACTAGTCAAAGTCCCTAAGATGTTAGGGATTGTTTGTTACTAATGAAGGGGGAAGAGGTGGTGCAAAATGGATAGGCATGACAAAAAAAAATTAAAAGCACTAGAGAAGGGCATACAAATTAAAATGGTCGTATTTTGTATTTAATTTAACGCATATTTTAAAGAAAACTTTTAAAAAAAAACTGTAAAAGCAGAAATTTCATTGAATTTTCAGTTTTGCGACAGTCCTTGAACACATCTTATGCAACAAATGCTTCCAAAAAACATAACCAAATCTGAACTTGAAATAGTAATATTTCATCAAAATCACTTTATTCTACATCTCATTTAAAATTTGTACAAAAAGGAATAAAGTTTGCACTAACTAACCGACATGCTCAACAAGAGAGAAAACCCGAGGCTGTTTTTAACTCCAGGATTTCAACTTTTCAACTTTTAACTTTTAACTTTCAAACATCAAAGGGTGAGTTTTAAAAATCTAATCACTAATTTATAGTGGATTGAGGGTCGTGCATTTTCCACCAGTCACTCAGGGAGGCTCAAGGAAAAATATTTATAGCTTCAGGGAGGGTCAAAACAAAATCAAAAAGAGTCACACCCCAGCCACCCCCCTCCTCTGATTAATAAAGAACAGTTCCTTAGCAGTGGAAAATTACATTAAATACATTTACTGCATGAAACCAAAACACTAGCATTTTTTGTGATGCTTTCTATAAACTAAACTATGCAAATTGCCATGCTATATCGATAGAGAGAGGGGAGGACCTGCAGGAAAGGGCCCTGGGCTGAACTTAAACCTGGGCCACTGCCGTAAGCGCTCACTCTGCGGTATGAGCTACGGGGGCACCCCCAGGTCCATTTTCATTTTTTTAATTAAACCTTTCTTAACCAGTCAAGCCAGAACAAATTCTTATTTACAATGGCCGCCTTGCAAATGGCAAAGCCTCTTAAAAAGACGAAGGTAGGGTCTAAAAGAAATGTCAAAAGTTAAAAAGACAGCAGCACGCATCCAGACATTTCCAAAACACCCACTAGTTACATACAATCACACAATGGTTCCTGCAACCATGTAAATGTTTCCTCAACATGAAAGTCAACCGATGTCATTTAAACACAAATAACAGGAAAACCAAACACACTGACTGAGATCTTTCACCTCACTGCGAGACAGACTGGCCTGCCCTGTGAGCAGAACTGCAACAAAGATGGCGTACGCTGAGAGGAGGCCCTCTCAGTAGAATATTTATTGTGAGTATTAAATAAAGTAAAAGCAATGCAAGCTAAGAAAAGAACCCAAAAGCAATGCTTCAAAAGAGGCTGCAATAATAATAATAATAATAATAGATGAGCTATAATCCATAAAGTCAAGCCTGTAAGAAATTTGTTTGCCCAGAGGCAGCTTCTGAAAATACACGATCAAGACCCTAAATGAAGACGTGGAAACAGCCTCCAGGGACTCGACTAGGATTTCTGGCTGTGTTCCAGCGTGTAAGGGGTTAAAGGGTTTGCGATTCAATGTGGTGCCGGACCCATCTGTGCCTTGATTACAATCTCAAAAATAATTTTTAAACCCAACAGGTAACCAGAGTCGAGATGCAAAAACACAGTGTGACATGATCTAATAGTTTGTGTGATTTATACAGGCTGGAAATAAAGAAGTGTCTTTTGGAGAAAAGGGCAGAAACTCACACAATGAGGGAGGTTGACGGTAAAACTGTAATGTAGGAAATGCAAGGAAATTTATACAACGTGGTCGCACAATTCTCCTGACAGACTGATGTGACAGACGTGCCGAAACAGCCACCCTTTTATATCTGCAAAGTATTTTATAAGGCACACCACACTATCAGCATCAGCATAGATTTGAGAGGAAATGTGAGATGAAAACACCAACTCCCACCTCAGAATAAATCACAATCGCTTGCTCCATCACCAGCAGAACACAGTCTGACTGGAGCTGTTATTTTATGTGGACTGATCAAAACAGCAAGCGCTCCCTTAGTGATTTAGAAAAAGCTCAAGGACGAATTACGGCTCTGGGAAGATGGACGAAAAACTGATATGCCCAAAGAGAGTCAGGCCTGCACGGTGCAGCAACTGGAAAGCTGGTGACTTGACACAAACTTTCCTTGCTGCTATAGATGTGAAGTTATTTTAGCTACAAAACAAAGCAAACCAGCTCGTCTAATTTGTCCTTCCAAATGGCCATGATAATGAGCTCGCAGCCATTTCTAAAGCTATATTACACAAATCGATGTGGCTGTTGGCCAATCAATTGTTTAACTAAACCTACATGCACTCGCTCATTGATCACAAATGATCACGCCGAATGTTTGGGCTAAATAAGACGATCAATCAATCTGTCTCCCACTGCAGCAGAGTCGGAGTGAAAAGACTGAAAAGATCCGAAAATAAGAAAATATATAAATAAAAATGATCTTGTCATGAAAGGAGACAGCGAGAGAAAGAAAGGGAGGGAGGGGAAAAAACGAGCGGAGAGAGGAAAAAAAAAAAGGGAGAAGGAGAAAGTGAGGGAGAGCAAGAACGAATTTTAATTCTGGCACTTAGCCAGCGCCTCAGAGGAAACATTTTCTCCAGTTATGATGAGAAATGGCAAGAAGAGGGGGGAGACAAGAGGAGAGAGGGAGGGAGGGAGAGGAACAAAGGAGGGGCAGCGCAGGATGAGGGACGGGGGGAGAGAAAAAGAGAGCGCGAGAGCAAGTGCGGGTGGTGTAAGAACGGTGGAAAGAGAGATAAGAGGAAAAGAGAGACAGAGGGAGTCAATCTATCCCCCCTCCCTCGCTCCCTCCTTCCCTCCCTCCCTCTCAGCAGCCAGCCATTTTTAGAGATTTAAGAAGTGAAAGCTGAAAATGGTGTATAGCAGCAGGCAGTGTTTGACTCAAGGATCCAAACAGAAGGACGGCAACATTAAACCAACATTATCTCATTGTTCCTTCAATATTTAACACATTAGCCGTACTGTATCTCCAACCAAAGCACATGAAGAAGGAAGCAAATACGGCGACTCTATACGCGGGGGCAACCAGGGAGCAAAGGTCAACTTCCTCCTTCAAAGACACCAGGGGAATTCCTTGTTCCCCTTACAGTATTATTATGATCATAAAGATGTGTGAGTTTTCTCCCCTGCAGGCTGAATTGAGCTGTCGCTGTGAGTCATTCAGTAAAAGCATCCCACCACAGTAAGGTAAACAGTAATTACCTCCTACCACCACAACGGTTACGGCGGGGAATACGGACCCTCGGTCAGCTTGGTAAGCAAGAGACAGCTTGTAACAATCAAACATATACACAGCATACAAGAGGTGACTCTGGCACACTACAATGTCACTGGAATCACTTTGAATCGGCTCTTTAAACACCAGAACACACACACACACACACACAGAAGCATCACTAACAGGGAGACATAGAGAGAGTAGGCCTGTCACCATAACTGGATTTGTCGAACAATATATTGTCCTAGAAATAATGCCACTAGTATGATAATAATAGTAGTAATAATGCAACTACACCCTTTCAAGAAGCAGTGAACTTTAAATTCTTAAGATGCTGGAATATGAAAAATTAAAGTTAACATATTTAAAAACCTGTTAATATACACAATAAACTTTATGTAAAATTATACTACCTTTACAGGAGTAGCCCAAAATGACACAGTTTGAGACTTTAAGACAGAGGTGTCAGACATATGGCCCATGTGCCAGAACCAGCCCACCAAAGGGTCCAATCCAGCCCACTAGATGACTAGACTAAAGCTGTGTCTCACTTCAGGTGCTGCAGCCTTTGAAGGACGCTGCCTTCACGGTCTACGTCAGCCAAACCGAACGGTCTCCGAAATGGGACGGTCTGGTCTACGGAGGATTTCCTGGGTTGTTCTCACCCCAACCTCTTGGCGTTCCTGTTACCTTGCAACCAGCTTCTCTTGACGAAAGAAGGAGTACGCTAGTACGTTAGTTAGCCCTAAATCATGGATCCAGAGTAGGGATGCACCAATCCGATATCTGGATCGAATATCGGCTCCGATATCATCAAAATAGATGGATCGGGTATCTGGAAATGCAACCTATACCTGAGGCGATCCTTTCCCTTTAAACCTATTGCGACACGAGCTACATCATGCGTCATGGAGTGAAGCAGAGAATCTGCTGTGTGGAGGTATTTCACACTATTTCAACCGCTGTTGCGCATTTTTAACAAAAAATAAATAGTTCATCATTGCATTAATCTGTTTCATCTTGTTTCATTTTATCTTAGGAATGAACGGTGTAGTCATCAATGCCTGATGCCTCTAGTCTTTTCTGTTCTACATGTAAAGGTCAACCATGGTATCACATCAGTATCAGGTATCGGCTGATACTCAAAGCCACAGCATCGGGATCGGTATCAAAAATGAAAAAGCTGGATCGGTGCATCTCTAATCCAGAGATACCGCCGTTTGATATATTTCAGGCTGATGGAGCGTTTACAGGTAAACTTATTAAATTAAGATTGTTTAAGCTGTGTCAACAACTGTTAGTTAACATAGCTTAATATGTAATCATCACTGGCACGCAATGCATCTTGGGATGGGCTGGGCCACGAAGGATTCATCTGTTGCATCCTCCAAATTCTGGGAAAGAAGGCCGCATTTGTTGGCCACAATTTAAGGAGCCTCCAAAATGGGACAACCTTGGTCGCACCGATGTGACGCGATCGGACTTCAAATGCAGCCTTCGAAGGCTGCAGCCCCTTAATAGAGACATAGCTTAAGAGGTGCCAGGTGTCAGGTGCCAGTTCAACAATGCCTCACCTACTTCATGTAAGATGCTGCTTCAGAGGCTTCTTCGCCCTGACCAGAACACAGTTCTCTGAGTTACATTGTTGATCAGCAGCTTCAGTTCAAAAGAATCTGGATCAGGAAATGTGTGGATAAATGCACATGTAATGACAGTGAGAAGTCAACTGACTGAACGTGGAAAAACTGAGACGTACTGCTGAAGTTGCGCTTATTTTTCTGAAGACATCTCAGGCTGCTTATCTGTTTTGCTTAAGGATAAGCATCTACAACATGTACTTGTATGTCTTTATACAGAAAAAGGGGAAATATTGGAGTGGATGGTACTATAGGTAATTGTGCTTTAAGATGTACTATGCAGGATTTTTCTAAAAAAAAACAAAAAAAAAACATGTACAGACTCACACAGAAGTAATCCCTCTCAATCATCATTTAAGACCCACTAGAAGTGTGTGGCAGTGTATTTTTCTGCAGAAACTCTGCCCTCTGCCTGGATTTGTTATTTTCTGTGCCCACAGGATGATTATGGAGAAGTACTAGGCGGATTGATCATAAAATATCAATGCTCTCAATACTATGTTTTTATTTTGAACATCGATCCTAGCGTCAATAGCACCAATACCAAAAAAGGCATCAGTTTCTCTCTTCTACGTCGTACCTATTTGTATTTCAAGAGTAGTACTGTCTATGCAAACAACGTTGCGCCGTCGTGAACCCATCTTGTGGATGTACTCTTTGCTGCTCCGCTGCTTTTGCGTTGTCTGCACTCAGACAGCTTAGTCAAGACCCAGAAGTGTCCTCTTAGTTTCACTTTCACCCGATGTCAGCAGTAGGGGGACAGTACGTTAACCTCCCAGGCATACCATTTATAGCTTGGGACTATGAGTACAACCGTAGCTATCCACGAACGTTAAACGTGGAAAATATGTCCAAGTCTGACTAGTTTAATCAGACACATAAAATCAGTGATGGATTAATGAAAGAGGAAAACATGAGAAAGAGAAGGAGGGGAAACACCTTAGCATCCAGACCTCTGACACAGACGTGAACCCCCACAGCGCTCAGGTGAGGTAGGGATGTTATGAAAACTAGCAACCGGGTGCCAAATCATAAGCAGCAAGTATCCAAGAAACACAGTGCCAAAAAAAAAAAAAAGCAAATATATTGAGGCCAAACACCAAACAAGCCTCGATTTGGGGTTGAGGTTGGCTTTTACTTTCACTTTCGCTGGTGAGCATGTTTACAGACAGAAAATGACAATTCTGCATTGTATATCTTCAACATAAATTTTGGCTGACAAAAACAAAACCGAGTGATGCCTCTTTCAAGTAACAGACAGGCTTAGCAAAGCTTCAGGAACACCACAGTTACCTCCATAATCCGGCCGGTGTGCTGTGGTCAGTTCCCGGGCACAGACAGCTTAGGAACTGGCTGGTTTGTTGGTGGATTTAAGAAGTGGAGGATGAAGTTGTTGGAGGGTTAAACCACGAATGACCCACTTTTTGGCTTGTTTCCACAGGTTAGCAAGCTAACAACAATCAGGACTGTGCCCACCTCCACGCCAAATGTGCAGCTGCAGGCTACCCATAAGCTACACTGCGTTGTTTTTAAAGTTGTTTTATGTTGTTTCAAGCTTGTGCAAGTAGGCGGGGTGGAGAGGGGAAAAAGGGAGAATCACTGCACCCAAGTCTGTAATGGTCAGGAAAACCCTGCTGTTTCTTCTGGCATCATGTTGGCGGATATGTTGGTGACATTCTTACGTGAACACAACAGGCAGTATCGAGGTCAGAAAGACGTACAAGGTCGTGTCCATATTGTTCGATAAGTCGATGACATAATTATTGTGACAGGCCTACATGATGCCACACACACACACACACACGTAAAGACTACAGCCTTACCGTGAAGATGCGTCGTCCCGTCCTGTCGAAGGTGAGGCAGTACACGGACGACAGGTGTCCCAGGATCCTCTTGTGCATCTTCATGTGCAGGTACACGGCCGTGGGCACCAGCTGCCGGAGACGATAGGAGCCATTCAGTCGACGGCTGAAGCATGTCTCGACTGGATGGCGAGAAAAGACACACACTGGTGAGGAGGACATCTTCATATGTAAAGAAATCTAATCAGTAAAAACCCACTCAATTAATAAAATATTTCAAAGAACATGAAAATGGGCCTCGACAGTGGATAACCTCGTGCACAACTACACTGCGAAGAAAATCAATAATAACACTACTGTCAAATGCTACTGGCGGTAAAGACCTTGGCAAGCAAAGATACAGTAATGTAAGATCTGACTCATGTACTGATAGCAAAGGCAAAAACAAAGAGCAGATGATGTTGAATCTTATCTTTTGTGTGTTTGTGTTTTCTTTACCAATGTTAGGTGGGCTCCCATAGATAATAGGCGGCTCCGGTGGTCGTCCACAGTGCAGCGCAGCCAGCGCTGAGCCCTTCCACACAACATGCTTGCAGTCTGGAGACAGATGAACACAGAAGAGATGCTAGAGACATACAGGCACGTAGCACTTTGGTAGCTGAGAGGTACAGTGTATGCCGTATATCCACACTTTGCTTTCAGACCTAGAGTCGTCTCCTTTGGTCTGAATCAGGGACTAATTTTGTCACAAAGTTGTATAATTGCCTAGAGTTGGTTTGTGTTCTCACGGCAGCATTTACAAGCGGACCAGATCAAATGCCTTGTGTGAGAAAGCTGCTCTTGATTGGTCAGAATTTCCATGTGGGAAAAATCCAGGAAGTAAAGCAAACGTTGAAGAAGAGTACACTTTCAAGATAAATGTGACACGAGTGCGATTGCTGTGTTCACACCTGCCCGAACAAACTGCACTTAGGGGGTAAAAAAGTTTGATTGTGAAAGCACCCAAAGACCATTTTAATTGCCACGTAGAATGAAATTTAAGGCTGATTTGACAATAACCACAACTGAAGAGAACCAACAACAATTACCTAGGGTTCGGGACAATTTTGCCCAAATATTGATTAGAACATAAAACATGAGTTTTTGTCTCATGGCAGAGACAACGGTGGAACAGAACTTGGAAATACCTGATGTTTGTTGGTGAGTTCTTTTTGGCAATTTTGTGTTTCCCACTCTGTATATGGGATTCTACTGCCTTGACTCCCATTAGGAATGCACAATAATATCTGCCCATCATCAGTATCAGCCGATACTGGCTTTAAATGAAATATCAGAATCAACCCACATGCTTTTTCCTAATTTGCACAATGAATGAATATTACATACATTGAAAAGTATCGTATTTCATGTCTCCATCTGCTGAATAAGAGTATGCATGTATAACATGACATTAATCCACTACAGAAGAGACTTGATTATCACTAAAATTAGGTGGGGAAAAAGGTGGCTATATCGACACTGGCACTGGTTATTGGTCACATGAGTTGTTACATATCAGCATATGTGATATCAGCAAAAAAACAAATGTCATGCATCCCTAATTCCCACTGTGCCCAGTTTAAAAACTTTTTGCATAATCAAACCAAGCCTCTTGTGCACTGCTTTATGCTCAAACGTGTCGCAAAATCTTGTCTCCTCTCTTACCATTTTTAAGATTTTAAGATCGGTGACATTAAGACATTTTAACACCAGTTAAGGCCTTAAGTTAAGCTTAATGAATGTTATGCCTTTTAAGGATCTGCAGGAACCCTGCAACCACAACATCCCCTGTTGGATTCCAGCCTTGGGAACTTGGGAACTTGGGAACTTTGTTGCATGCCATAACACCCCCCCAAATTCCACACTGTCCTCTGTCAAACACAGGCCAAATACAAAAAAGAATAGAAAATCACATGCACATACATTATCCACTCTGTATCATGACTTGTCTGCGTGAGCTCGCTCTGTATGCATTCACTTATATTTGCATGAGCACACCAAAGAATGTATTTACATGAGGTCTGTTAGTCTGCACTAACATGCAGAGATGTAGCAGCCTGAGTGGGTGTGTTTGCATACGTTATGTGTACATTAAAGCAGCCCATCATGAGCACATGCACCGTGTATCCACTCACTCTTGCTGGTGCGGAGGAGATTCTGCCTTCCAGCCCCCAGCAGGCTGGTGAGTCCGGGCACACTGGCAGGGACCTCCCTCTCCAGCAGTGGACAAACTCTGGAGCAGACCTGCAGCAGGTGGTCTGGACTGATGTGGCGGTATTGCTTCACCTGAACACACACACACGTAGCTCAGCTTATATTCAGAATAGTAAATGAGAAAACACAAGTTAGAGGAGAGCAAAGAGGTAAACACATCAAACCTGGCAAGCTCTACAGGAAAACCTTCCGAGAAAGACTAACATTTCACCACATTATTACACCAAAAACTAACTAATTATATAAAGAAAACATTTCCAGTAGATCCTACTCTATTCCAAGAAAACCAAAACACTGCCTGGAAAATAATAAAAAGGAATAATTAGGTATTTATGAGTGACAAAGACGAAAAGAATTGTTTTTGGCATGAGTCCATTTAGTTTAAATTCTTCAGCATACACACAAAAAATGTATTTTCAGCACAATGCGAGAGGCAAAACACAAGGTCACTAACCCAAATGCCTGTTGGTTTGCTGAGATTTTCAAAAGCAAAGGTGCCCTTTCAAAAAAAAAAAAATCACATTACTATTCTCTGAGGCTTTCAACAGGAACAAACCGAGCTCGACTAATAAGGACAAAACAAATAAAACAATCACTCTCAAACTGCAAAAAGCCTCATTTCAGATACATTTAGGAGCACTCAGACAAAAATATTAATTATTAAATATCAAAATTGCAAAATAAGAAAGATAAAAATGAAATCTGGAGCAAAATAAAAGCTGAAATTCAGTTAAAATGTTTTTTTTGTTTTTTTTTTTAATGGAAACAGACACAGTTCACAAGCAGCACGGTGAAGCAGCAGAGAAAGGGGGTGTGGCATGCAACACAAGCATGAAGCAGAGTGAAAGCCACACTGTCATAAACACAGCGAGTCTCTGATCCCACTGACACATGGGGGACACTCCTGCATGGCCTACCTCTGAAAAAACACACACACACACGCCTGAGTGACTGGAATAGCAGCGATCCACCACGGGACGAGGGAGAAGCATGCAGCATGCAGCACTGTGTCTGATGCAGGATTATTTTAAATGTTTCCATTTAAAATCAGACGTGCTGGTAATCAGCTTTGTTTCAGACACATCTCATTTAAATATCTGAACTGGGTCAAATGAGCCTGAAATTAAACAATTACTCCACTCACACACACGTTTTTTTCCCCCTTACATTCCTTTATCTGAGCACTGACAGTAACACTTATTCTCTGTCTCTGTGACACACACACACACACATGCACACACACGATTAATGACCCCTTAATTGCTTTCAACATTGTTGCTGGTTCAGAGACGTGATCAGTGTTTCTAAGCACATATCAGCCCCTCTCAGGTGCACGCACAGCCACGATGAACACACACACACACACCGATAGAGCAATGTGTAATAACAATTTGCTCCATTTTACTTGCTTCTTAAAAGGTAATGGATAACACCCCCACACACACACACACAGCAGCAGCACCACCGAGACGCACATGGCCTCACACACATGCCTCCAAGTTAGCTTCTACAATCACCACATTTCAATATACTGCTCAAAAATCAATACATAGCTCTTAATCAAGATGCTATTTCCTTCAATATATGGGTCTAATAATTACAAAACACAGCAATTGTTGAAATCCACTCATTTTTAGTGCAAAAATTAAAATTATTAAATTGCTGTAAATGTGTTTAGAATGAAAACAGGCTGTTTTTATTCAAAAATAGCTTCAATATTTGTTCATATTTTGCTCCTGCAGAATTTTACATGCAGGATTAAAATAATGCTACATCTAATTAATCCGCCTTAATTAATTAGCCACAATTAATATCCTTAATGATTACAATATCACTGAAGCCAACGCTGATTCCTCATTGTTGCCCAACCCCCTTCTGTGCCAGCCCCAGACATCAGCCATCGACACAACACATCCAACCTGATCCCTGCAACTCCTGCCCTCTAAAACATCCTCTTTCTATTTGGTCTAATAATTAAAAAGCACCCGCAGTATCTTTTTTTTTTTTTCTTTTTTTTTTAATGGAGGAAATTATGCACAATAGACAGGAGGCAGGCTGAGCGGCTGGGAATGGGGAGGAGGAGGAGGCACGGAGAGGCGAACGAGCCAAGCAGGAAGAGAGAGGAGAGGAAAACACAGGCAGGCAGAAAGACTCTGTCAATAATGTCTTAAACGTATAAATTTACATCCTGGTGAAGCTACACTCGGTGCGATGTGGACTCGAGTGTTCAGATGAGTGTGTGAGACACAAGAGAAGTCCTTTAAAATGTGGGTGTCTGCGCATTAAATAGGCCACAGGTCATTATTTTTATATTAATGTTAAAATAAAACAATCTAATCAAATAGAAAAGTATGGCTTGACACTATGTGCAGGCTGGCTAAAGAATAAATACGTACGCGATGATTAATTCTCTCCACGCCCCCATGCGTAAACGGCGCTTCCAGGCGAGCCCTGTTTGTTTACATGACAATTAGCACGTCAATTAATAGCGCGATTATAAGATATCAGCTCCACGTTACCTCGCATCTTCACATAAACTCATCTCCCCTCTTGTCTTCCATCCGAGCTCGCACCACAATCCCCCAAAAAGCAGCTGCTCTCCAAAAACGCCTCCACCACAACCAGCCTGCCCCTCACGCGCGCTGCAACTTCCAGCTTTACTGAATATACTGTTTATATTCTGCTACAAAAAAAAAACTGCTGTTTCCTAACTCTTGCCCCCTGTGTGTTTTCAACCCATGCACACAAATTATGGCTCTTGCAGGACAAGAGCGCCTCCATCTCTCTCTGGCTTGTGGCGCAGGGAGTCCCTCCTCCGGATCCTGGCGCTCCTACACCACAACACTCATGACGTATCAACATTTCACACACATTTTCCCCAACAACTATTAAAACCTTTTGGACATGCATGGCACCAAACTCGCACAGCACGGTGCACAGGAGGCTGGGAGCCGACCCCTCGGTGCCCCGGAGCGGCCCCAACTTGCAGGCAGCTCGCCCTGCAAAGTGCTTTGCAGTTTTTTCTTTGCCACCTGATTTAAAAATTGCGGGAAATTCAATTTTTATTTTGCTCTCTAAAAACTTTTTCCTCAGTTATAGAGCTCCCTTACCAAATTTTCGTACGTCCCGGGGTGTTCCTGCCCTGTCCAGTCCAGCCTTATGGGTAGCAGCTGGGGTGGAAAAACAGTGTCGACTGTGATCATCCACGTTATAAATGTACCGAGTGATGTTTTAAAACAGTAAATGACAAATCAGAGTAAAAGCAACATGACAAAGTACAGTGCACAGAGAAGCATCTCTCTCGTATTGCTGACTGCTTACCTCCTTCTCCTCCACCTCCCTTATCAGGGTCTGAAAATAGCATAAAAATACAAAATTACACCCCATGACAATCTCGGACATGTTATAAATTATCCCAAAATGCAAAAACACCAACCTCGGCTGCTTTTTGACACGGTCCAGCTTCTAGAAATCGGGCTATTAGGAAGTACAGTTCTGGTATGGTTGGAGGGGGAGAAGAGGACGGGAGCTGCGTTAGAAGAGGGCACCGAGGAAATTGGGGGGATATTACAACAACCATGACATATTTTCCGATCTCCTTTACTCACCAGAAGTCAACTGCGCGATGTGTGTACTGTCTGAAGCCATTTTGGTGTTGTTTGCCAGGGCAGCGCCAGAGCCTGTGTGGTGGGTCTAGGTGGCTGCCCTGTAGCTGTCACTGTTTATCCACCAGGAAGAGGCTGCCTCCATTCAGCTCCGCTCACACAAAGTCCCGGCTGCGTCGTGTATCTCTCCGCCGAGCGACAACTAGTGCGCGCTGGGCTGTTTCCCCCCGCGAAACGCCGTCTTCCTCCGGGAAAGACCCAACCGCCATGACACCTCTGAACTCACTGTGCCTCGGGGTGAATTTTAATGGCGGCTACTTTTCTGCGTGGACATGTTTGCGTGAATCCCCCTCCCCCTCAAAAGAAAAAGCGCAAGCCCTCTGCGGAAGAATACAAGCTGTGTGTGTTCACGCACGCCACTGTAGAGGGGAGGTAGCAATGGCAGCCTGCTGTAGGAGAGGACACATTGCTGCAGAATGGCCGTTACTTCGTAGCTAAACGACATTTATCACGTTTTAGCAACTACACGTTAATACATTTATACTTTAAAGTGTGTTGCGGGGTGATACAACGCAACTCCTGCTCTATTTTTTTAAGTATTCGCACCCGCGGATGTAGAACATGGCTACCGTGTTTGTGAGGGGATTTACAGCCGAACTAACCGTTTGAGCCAGGTTTTATTAAAAGATAACGATATCTTCGTTAAATCTGCGTCTCCTCGGCCTCGTTTGTTATTTCGCCGTCGTTATTGTGTAACAAGATGTCAGGCTAACACACCCACTCTCTCTGGGAGCCGTTTGGTGGGGAAGTCGTCCATTTCTCTTCCAAATACTGGCTGGCAGTAAAATGGGGGAAGGGTTGGAGAAGAAGGGGAATGCAGCTTAATGAATGAAACCTCGTGAGTTACAGGAATTTAATGGCAGGGAGACATTAAACGCAACACTGATGATTGAAGGAGGTTATCAAGGAAATGCATCACACAGCCCACTTCCTCTGTTTTGCACCAGAAAGTTGTCACAAAAAGGGAACAACACTGAAGGTGTTAGTTCCTGTGATTAAATATTTTTATTATTAATAAACATTTGTGGAAAGGATGTGCTTTATGTCTTATATTTCAGTTAAATGCGCAATGTTAGAACAAAACACAAGCTCACAGACTTGCGCTGACCTTATGAACTGTCTGCTCTTTCTTTTATTTGAAGTAAACACCAAGGAGAGCGTACATAAATCATTAATTACCAGTATTATTAAAGTCTCTACATGCTGGTGAAAATTACTTGAGAATAGTTTATTAATTGCAAAACAAACCACCTCCTGAGTAAGGTCAGTGACTCGATTTGTCACCCACAACCTAATTCAACATGAGAGACACTTACACACCAAACCAAAGAGTGTTTTCCAAAAATCACCTGATTTTTATTCACACATTTTCCTTCTTAAATTTTTATTTTCCCCTCAGTATAAAAGCTTATAAATGTGTGCTGTTGCCTCTACGGTGTAATCTACCTAAATAAGGAATTACTCCCATCTCTGTCTCGCTGTGAGCTAGTGTATATAATGAATATTGTTTGATCCAATGGCGTTATTTCACAAATCATACACACTGGTATAGAAACCATTATCCTATTTATATAGCACTTGTCTCACTTAAATCCTTGGCAGGGACATCAGGGAACAGACGAGTTTGTGGCTGAGTAGAGAGTGTCGATGTAGAAACTCGAACAGATGACTGACTAATTCCCGGCCTGTGTTATTTACTGATTTTTTTTTTTCTGTGGATGAAAATAAGAAGTATATTATTTGGCTTTTATGCTGCTATGATGTGGTTTTCTTTAATGTAATTTTTCTGTTAAATGCAGGCACGCTTCAGACATTAACTCAAATTTATAGTTCTGCTCATTTAAATAGAATAATTTAGTTTATGTGGAATAGCGTAGAAGGTGTGAATCATGCAGTATATTTTATCTTATATACATAGCCATATCATGTCTGAAGTGGTGTTTGTTTTGTGAAGGAAACACACAACTGGAGTCCGAACATTTCCCCCAAATTCCATTCAGTGAACATAATTTTTGTTGCATGCTTTGCTTTGCACTTATAGATTCATTCTGGCACTGTCAACCACAAATAACACAGACACTGCACCACAGGGATACTTAACCTACTTTGCAGGAGGGCCAAGTCTGCAAAATGACAGGAGACCATGGGCCAGTGTATAAAGAAACAATAATAATATTTAT